AGTTACCAAAAATGACCTAGGATTTCTTGAAAGTCAATATTAAGCCACTACTAATTAGTTATTAGATGTTATTTCAATCCTAAATTGCTTAATGAAAATTAGTTATTAGATGTTATATTTCATGCCTAACATCTAATAACTACTAAATGAAGTCAAATGTTGCGCAAGGGACGAAGGGGGTCTCCTAAAAGATGCATTTCAGATTCTCCCGGGCATAGATGCCGCTGAGTTCAAGGTTTCCAAGGCTTCTATCTAGTTTGGGGCTGATTCAAAGATTCAAATAAGTAGATTTTACTATACTATAATATGTCATGCATAATATATATATATATATATGACATGTTATGTATATATATATATACATATATATATATGATATGTCATGTATATATATATGATATGTTTTGTGTATATATATATATGTGTGGTGTGTTATGTATATATACATATATATATGTGTGATATATTATGTAGATATATTTATATATATATATATGATTTGTTATGTATATATATATGATATGCTATGTATATATATATATATACATGTGTGTGTGCTGACATAAGTGGTTGACAATCCTGGTAATTAAGTCCCAGATTTCAGAGGTGACGTCTCATATAGCTGGGTCATAAGTGATAAGTGTAGTTATGATCTAATCAAACTAGTTGCTAGGGACGTGATCCTCACGTTAGGAGTCGACCCTGGTGGTTTCATTCTGGGGTCATTCAGCCGGCTATCATTTTTTTTGGTTTACCGGGTAACCTATGGTTGTCGGAGCAACCCCACAAACAGATATATCATGATATATCCGTTGAAAACTCGGGAAACATCAGGCAATCAGTCAGACTTGCTGAGACGGGACAAACATTGGCAGGATTGTTACAACTGTTGGTTTTTGCACTTGCCCATGCAAACATATTCAGCAGGCAATGATTCCCCATGAATATGTTAAGTCACAGTTGCGTCGTGCTGTCAGAAAGATTGAAACTGTGCATACGAAACTTTGCACACTTGCTTTGACAGCTTGCATGTTAAACTGAGGGTGTGTATACTTTCATGATGGTCTCGCGTCGTCCTGTTTCCCCTGCGCTCACTGGGTAGCACAGTCCTACCTTGAGGCAAATCACGATGGAAACTGCCTGGAAGCCTCAAACAGCCAGATGAATGGTTCCTTGGCTGCCTTGGCTCGGCCCTTGAAATCCAAGATCCCAAATGCTCCATCCACGGAATATTTACCAACATTGGCCCTAAAATCATCTAAATGTAGGTAAATATACCATACATGGAGCATATGGCACACGTACACACTTAAATTGTCTTAAAAACACAAAATATCAACACCGCAATCAGGCAATCAGGATGACACTCACAATACCGTATACAATTGTACAATTGCTTCTCTTGGAGACAGCAATCTTCCAGTTAACTAACCGACATGTTGACAGCATCAGAAGTTCTGGCCACAAACACTGGATCCGTTTTTGGGAATATTTGATATCCAAAAATTGTAGATGGCTCCAGGTGTCACGTGTGTTTGATGAATTGATCTTGTGGGCCCATAGGCCTCCCCGACATGTTGGGCAACCAATTGGGGGGCAACCAATTCAAAAGAGCACTACAAGGTGGTTAAAACATTGTTAAAACAATATCATAAACCACCCCATTTTGATAGTTTATACCACACATAACGTTGGTGAATGTGGGAATGGTTTATTATTGTTTTAACCACATTACAAGGTGGCGCTTTTCAGTTATGTCCGTTGGTTTATAGATCCCATGAAGCCTATGTACTATCCTGACTAGCAGGTGTAGGGCCCAGCATGCAGCCCTGTGATGCAGAGAATGACCTGCAGCATTGGCATTATGACCCGCAGCCCGGCAGAAGCACCTGATCAATGGCTGCTAAATCCTGGTTGATGATGAGTTTGTCATTTAATAGGGATTCTTACCACGAAAATATGGAGGCATTAGTAGCTTGTTGGTAGTTTGGAACATGTTTTTTATTTTTCCCATCATATTGGCAATGTCATCGTCCCAAACTGGCGAAGTCCATGACTTTTCAGAGTGGTAGGGCGAAAAACCACCGACCAGATTAATTTTAAACCATCATTAACCATATATAATAACCAGTAATATTAACCATTATTAACAGTATATTAACAGTATATTAACCACTGTATATGATGGTTGGTTGGTGACTATAGTCAACTCATAGAATTTTCGGAAAACTCACTTGGATTTTCTGAGTCCATGATGATTTTGCATATTTTCCCTTGCTGGAAATCGATGCATTTGGGGAATGTTTTTTGGGGTACGGGTTTTGATGATTTTTTTGGGAAGCAAATCCAATCGTCAAAACACGGAGGATCACGGAGGTATAAGTGGATTTTAGTTAATCAACGATGGTTGATGATTCGTTCTGGGATGGTCCCCTATATATTTGAGACCATCATCCTTTGTGCGAAATCCATTCTTAGCCAGCCTTAGCCAAAAGGGACGACTCAGGGTTTAAACACTTGGATACAATGGGAGAATACGCTTTCAGGAACCATCAATATACTTATACTACTGCAAATGTGTTTTTAGCTATCAACCATATCGTGCGATATAGTATATGATATTCATTGGTATACGATGGACATGATATATTTCTATAGTAGATTGACTTATTGATGTTACAATTGGATAACAAAAATATAACTTTATTTGAATGATGATATTTGTGGATAAATGTCATACCTCACGTCCCGACGTCACAATGGAATTGCTTAGGATGAAAGGGAAATCGTCCCCAATTGGCTGTGAGTTCAAAAGCAACCTAGCCAACACCATCCACAACCTTGTGGGTGGAGCTATGCTTGGTGTGGTCTCAGGAACGGGTAAGCAGGTTGTGAAGCGAGTTATAACTGGAATCCCCCTACTTCTCCATCCAAAAATCCCACTGGGGCTATAACTTCCTTAGGATTCCCGGGGTGCACGTGCTCAACCCTAGGACAAGCGGTCTCTTGAAGCACATGGGCGGCGGAAAGTGTCACCCGGCGAAGTCAACGATGCCACAACGGGGACGGGCACCGGGGTGATGCGTTGCCAGAGGGGCATGGAAAAGGTGAATTCTTGAGACTCAATGGGAATTTTGATAGGATATAATATATATATATATAATATATATGTATATATTTATGTATATATTTATGTGTATATATATATATATGTAACCAACATTAAGTCACATCTGATGTGTATGAACATGAATCATTTTGAACATGTGGAAGATGATAAACCATGATAAACCGTTGAATTTGAGGCTGATCCCCAGGGAGAATGTCCACTTTGGCACCGGTGGTGCCCCAAACAATCGTTTTTTGTTGCTTGGAATAACACCAACAACTTCGGTCGGACGCCCTGTAACCGCGCGCCGGCAAGGGACAAAATCCCCATGGCACGGTGGCGTTCAGTGCCTTTTTCCACACGCCTGCCATTGTTTCGCAACTAGGTCCACAGCCACGCTTGATCTTTGTCCAAATCAAACATGTGGCGTGGATCATGGCCCAATTGGCCTGCTCGGTCCTGTATATCATATATATATATATATCATATATATATATATCACATAGATACCATATATATCATATGTATCAGAGATATCATATATATCAAAAACAACATAGAGATCATATATACCATAGATATCATAGATAGCATATATATATAGATATATATCATATTTAACACATATATATACGTGTGTATATATATATAATATATCATAAACAAAGATATCATGTATACCAAAGATATCATAGATACCAAATATATCATATATAACACACATAAACCCAAAACCCTCAAAACCCCCCCAAAAAAAAACAAAGGACACGGACACGGTCCAAGCAGCACGGACAATAACAAAACCAGACGCGCCAGACAAAAAAAATAACGTCTTGGCGCAGAGGAAAAAAACGCTTACAACCGTTTAAAAAAAAGGGAAGGCGCGAAACGACAGCACACACACACACACGAACGCTATTATGCCCCCCCCCCCCCGAAACCCCACCCCCCCCCCAAAACCCCCCTCCCCAAACCCCCAAACCCCCACCCAGAAGAGCACCGCAAAAAATCCCGTATTTTTTGCGCAATGAAAAAGGAAAAAAACAGCAAAAAACAGAGGAAAAAGTAGGAAAAACATAATACGGTGCGCGGTAACAAAGGGTCCGAGGGAACAACTTGGATAACTAGGGTATATGGTAGGTATATCGAAGTACCCTCTGGTAAACTAACATAACTATGGAAAATCACCATATTCAATGGGAAAATCCACTATAAATTGCCATTTTCAATAGCTACGTTAAATTACCAGAGGGTAGTTATCATGGTTTTTATACATCAACAAACATACCGAGGGGGGGGGGGCAGCACTAGCACCTTGCTGGCGTTTGTTCAAGAGCAACCGATTTTGGTGTTGAAAAAAAGGCACCTTTCTTTGAAAAACGAAAGCTTAACCGCCCAGCAACCGAACCCAGTTTGTGTTCCGGCGTTGGTCCTTATCTGTTTATTTTCATATATATTCATATATATATATATAGATACATATATATATATATATATATTAATTATTATTATCATTAATTATTATTATTTTTGTTATTATTTTTTTATTATATATATATATATATACATACTATTATATATACCTAGAGCCGGTTTGTTCCCTGTTTTGGGGTATGGACATGTATTACGGCTCTGTGTTCATGGCCTACCCAAAATACGCCCCTTTGTTAAAAAAACGGGTTTTTGATGTTTTGGGTTTTTTTAATGATTTTTAATCTTCTGACCATATTATCACCCAGTGCCAAAGAAAACATCAGCGCACACACACAAATGCCTTCCCAAAACGGCTGCACATCTCCCAGAGTAAATAAAACCCTTCTAAAACCAACGCAGTACTTCACCTGTCTCTTCTCTCTTCTATTTTTTCCTCCATGCGCACGTCATCGCATATCTAATCATAGCAATCCCGGCCCCTTTGATCACCATCGGACCTTTGCAGCGCCAACTGAGCCAAAATGAGACACCTGTGAATGACATTTCGGTGAAGTTGTCGGATGTTCACACGACGGGAGGCCCTGCTGGGCCTCCCAATGAAATCTTCTTGTAATTGTACTGAACATCCTAGGGGATTTTGGCACCAGTCCACCAAATCTGACTGCTGCCGCAACTGCAAAGCCACATGGCTCAGGTAATGCAACTTCGGCATTAAGCTATACCGATTCTTGCCAACAGCCAAAGTCTCATGTGCCAAACGCCCATAGACATACAAGAAGAAAAACAATTGCCTGGAGAGGGACTTTGCGCAATTCTTGTTCACCCAGTACCCACACCCGTACATCGTTGACAGTGCACGATTCATAGCCGAAGTGCCATCTGCCTCACACACAATCGCGGGCCCATCGATATTTGAGAACAAAGCATCAACCAAAAACAGTTTTTTCAACCAGACTGAACAACCCCAAAGTGCATTGCAATTTTACAAACTTGACAAACTTGAAAGGACATCTTGTAAATTATGACATAAAGTCGAAAATACAAACAATAAGTAAGAGGTCATGGGACTATCAGCAAAAGCTGCTCATCATCACTCTTGCCCTTGATGAATTTGGTGCAGTAGTGTTCGAGAAACAGCATCATAGTTGTACTGCAAGAACCCTTGTTCCATTTGCCAACTGGTGCAACTGATCCCTGGGGAAAAAGCAAAGTGTCACGGCTAATCTCAGTAATCCACATCGCGAGGCGATTTGTCCGACAGAAGGTGACGTACTCATCAGTCATTGATTTGAATTTGTTTTCCATGGAACTTCTTGGCAATAAATCCGATTCAGCAATCATCACAAGAGAATTTGCAACAAAATGTTTGCAAATGCCCAAATGAAAAATATGCCACAAATCCAGGCAGAAAAAACCACTGGCTTCTTCCCGGTTGATGGGAAGGCCAGATATCATGTCAGGTTCTGTCCGCCAAGGCAAAACCGTATGCATCGTTTGCTCCCAACATGGGCGAGGTCTGAGGTCCTCATATGGAAAATGTTCAGCACCTGTTCTGATATTCTCTTCTTGCCCCCCCAGACACAAATGACAAATTCCTTCGCAAGGGTTCTGCGTTGATGGCCTCTTTGGGACATGTAAGAAACTGCGGGTAAAGCCTCCAACTTTCCCAAGTGCTGGTAGGTCACCCTTTGTTCCGATATGGACAAGTCTCAGTCGGGTACCATCACATAAAATCCCTTCACATGCAAGCATCGCAGCATCAGTTGCAAACAAATTCAAAAGTTGAGAAATCGCTTCAGGGTGCATGTTGGAAACTTGTTTCGTGATAGTACCAAGCAAAAACTGTGTAGAGAATGTTTGTCCAAGAAAATTGAGACCCATCTCATTCTCCGAAATCGGTTTTGTGTGCTTCTTCTCTGTCACAAAGCGACGAGTTCCTCTTCCCAAAGCCCCATGACACGAAAGAATCCAAATAGGCTCATGCTTTTGAGAGCGTCCCTCATCTGTATGGCTGTAATATGGCACAGTGTGTGCCAGGTCTATTCCTTCCAGTCCAAAAATCTCATGGTGTGGAAACAAAGCCCTGAACCTCCTCCAGTACTCTGTCAAAACTGCTGGCATTTGTTCCAGAGAGCAACCTACAAGTTGTCTAGCGAAACGGCCAGTATTCCACAGGAACAGCACCCAGTCCGACAATTTCAGGTATGGAAATGCCTTTGTCCCAGCTATCTCTGCATTGTAAACTTGAATTGGCACACTCAGCCCATAGCGTTGGAAAAACTTGTGAACCGCAACCTCTGCATCAGCCAGCCTGATAGCTGAGAATTCACGAACCTTTGGACACACACGAGGGTTGTGAGCAACTTCAGCCTGTGCCAGCTCGACGACGTGCGAGCATGCGGCCTTGGCGGTCAGAGAGCACTTATAATTAGGATATTAGGGCGAATAGTGAAGAGGGGGATAGTGAAGAATAGTGATATATATAGAAAGAATATATCCATAAAACATTGTAAGGAGGTCAGGTTCCACACATTTCCGCACCATATTGTAACGTATGGTTGCGCTGGGTTGCACAATCAGACATACAACTGGAATGTACCCATGCACACACTCACACATACAAGCAGAACAACTTCTGCGTGCACCCTATTGAACCCCGTCACTAGCTTTCTTTTCCTTGCGCGCTCCCCGCAAAGAAATCTCATCCATCTCACCCTACTCTTCGCAGCTGGTCCGCACGACCACCAGTGATGTAAACAAAGTACGGCGGAGATGGAGGGTTTGATCTGTTTAAACAACCCTCTCCCCCGGTTCCTCCTTTGTTTTGGCACCCGATTTCTCGATGGAACTGTAGAATCAAAGAGGCCTCCAACATATGAACCAAATCAACACTCCTAGAAACCCAAATCAACCACATTGATGTAAAAGCCTTCTCCCTGTAGTCAGCAAATCGGGTGACTGGGTTCGATGTAACCCCAATTTTGAAAATGCAGAGCTTGATGCCCAGCTTTTCACGAAAAGATACAACCCGCTGTGTAGCAAGGGCCAAGATTTTGCCACATGTCATTGATGAGCTAGCAGTGGCCCGAGTGCATAGGTTAGAAATTCCTAGGCCTTTCACTTGGTCCCAATCGAAGGATCCTGCATCAAAGGTGGCACCAAGATGTAGCAAAGTTGGCCCCCGGTCACTCTTGACCTTGGTTTGCAACTATACCCCAAAATCAGTTCCACCATCTTGAAGCTTTTACGAACATGCACATATTAACACATTATTATATAATAGTATTTTGTTCAAATATGTGTGTTATATCTATACCACATGCATGTAAGTATGGCTTGAACGTGAAACACATATAGATTAATGCTGCTTTGGCACTGGCTGGCTTGACTCTATTTCACAGTCCCTGTCAAAGTACTCCATGAACTCATTTTCCGACTCCACCATTTGTTTGGATCGCCTAAGGTTAGCAATGCATGCATCATCCCATCATAAACTAATGCACCCCTGAAGTTGTTTGATATATATCCCGTTCTTCCCCATTTGCAGTGAAGCTGCTTCAGATGAGGGGGGCTTCCATACCCAGCGGTGCGCTTCTTGCCAGTGACAGGGCAGTCATAGGTCAAGAGATCCGTCAACAAACAATCCTCCAGTGCATTTTCTGGATCAGAAAGCATTAGGCTGCACAATTGTTTTCACAAATTGAAGTGCCAAGGTTTGTATCGATTTTGGAATTTAAAACTATATCTTCCAAACATCGCGATGAATAGCTTTACCTATGTAGATATAGAAAAAATGGAATGATGAGAAACCTCTTTAGAACATGTTTGTAAATTGCACCTTTGGTCAAGATTTCAACCAGCTCTGAGACTGCAAACGCCAGCGGGAAGGGTCACCATTCTCCAGTGCACATAAAGCACCCTTCTTTGCTGGGTTCCCCGGCGCCATTGGCAATGAGCTTTGCAAAGTGGTGAAGCAATTCCAGGCCAGGGTCACCTGGCATGAGGATCATGAGGAACATGAGGAACATGGACTGGGAAAAAATGATAATCCGGGTCAATGTTTCATGATGTGCTTTATTTATTAGAATTCCATGGGCATAGTGGGAATGTTGGTGGAATTCAGCATGCCATCATGTGATGAAGTCTTACGAGAGGCAACATTTCTGCAACATTTTTTGGAGTCCATACCCCATCCAATCTGGCAGCGACGTGCAGCCAGTGCTTGTCAAGAATTTCAAATTTAGAAGCATTTCAGCTTCCCTCTTCACCCCCAAATCGGAGTGTATGTATGTCACACACCCAGTTCCAAGATTTTGCCAAATTGAAGGCATCTAAGGCGTGCATGTTCTCACGCACACCGCTAGCCTTTCAACAAGATCCCAGCTCAGACAGCCAACTCACTCCTCCCAGCTGTTGATGATTTTACGGAGTGCTCGGAGAACGCTCCTAGGGAGAGAGCAAATATAGACAAGGAAAAACAAGAATAGGTAGATATACATAGGTAGAAAAGGGCTCATAAACAGGATTGGTAATCTATCAAATAACCGGGAATGATGCGATTGAATGCAACCAAAGTTCCTGGCTCCGGACTCGCTGGTGGTCACCTTGCTGCACCTCAGAGCTGTGGGGTGCTCAACCAGCATGGCCAGGATTGAGGAACTTTGGAACAACACTTCATGGTCAAGTGCAATGTAAGGCGCGCAAGGGTGGTCTTCAGAATTTGGGCCTCAATCTTCTCACATAGCCTCGGCCCCAAATAGTGAGGTTTGAAGCCCATGAATATACAACATAAACACATATAAACACCAAACAATGTGGCTACCACCTTTTCCCAACCAAAGAATGAAATTGTAACCAGAGAACTCCGTCTCCCCAGCACTTCCAGGCACAGCTTTCTTGTGCTTGGCCATGGAGGCTTTGACCTGCTCGCATGCCTCGAACTCAGCTTCCAAGACTTTGACGGCGTTCTCCAGATTCTGGACTGACCTAAAGATTAGTTGGTTGAACTAGTGGGGAATGGCAACAATATTTCATCAACTATCACAGGAATACTGAAATGTCTTTTGTTTAAGAATTGCGTTGCTGAACACTGCACGCCCAGCGATGGACATTGACCAGCTAAGTAATGGGCTTGGTTGCCCTTTTGTGATCACCAGTGTCCGGGGTCTTGCCTGACTCCTCCAAGGCCTGCTCCAAGTCTGTGATGATCTCGGAGAGCTTGGTGCACTTTACCAGGAGACTGTCCGCGAACTTCTTGAAGCGCTCCCACTCCTGAGTGTTGAGAAAGGGTAGCTGAGGGTGCTAGCCTTACTTGTTTTCTTGAGTGTTTAAAATGCCTAATCATGAAATCCACATATTTGTTTGTTGGTGAATGGTGAATTCCATATAGCCTATCAATGCTGAAATTTGCCTTGAAGTATTTCATGCATGCAGAAGCTGTCCTCCTCAGCACTGTTGGAAACCTTCGCATCCTTTTCCTTGCCCTCAACATCTGTTTCCGAGTCTGAAGTCTCGGGTAGCTCTGGAACTCCTGCCCCCTGGCGCCTCCCAAGCCGGTTCAAGCTGACACCACCATCGCGCACCTGCAGGACAGCAAGGGCAGAGATGATCTATGTGGTTTGGCAGGCAGCTTGTTGGTGAGACATGGGATTAAAATTAGGGTCCTAGTAAATATAAGGGCCTCCGTTTCCTCAGTACGTTCGATTTCTTCGTCTTCACTTACATTCTCATCCTCCTCTTCGATCTCAACATAGAATTTGTCAATCTTCTTGTTGTAGCGGTCTTTCCTAGTTTTTTTTCATCATGGCGGCATAAAGAAAAGCTATGGAATATTATGGAAGACACATCAGGGTTTTACAAACATGTTCGTTCAGTTGAGTACGGAATGACATGTTTTCAGAGAATTGGCAAAGGGATGTTGACAAGTCTCTTGACCAGCTTCTCATTGCCCTTGCGTCGGCAGTAGGCCACCACCGACTTGATGTACTGCCTCGGGTCGATTTTTTTCAAGATCTACGGGGGGCCAATACCCCACCACGTTAAAAGAACCTTTCAAGACTTTGTTGTTGGATAAAAAATTACATGTTCACGACTAAATACTTGCTCCATTTGAGCTTGGTCGACATTGACTCTTCGGTGTGCCAACCCCTGCGCTTCTTTGACAACTTCGAAGACTTCTGAATGATCCGGGTCATATGGGTAACAAACCGGTCCTGCAGAGACAAGCTAGAATTGGAGGTATGAGGGTCCAAGGGGCCCCAAAACTAAACACCTCAAGATTTCAGTTCAGTCAATGGTGAGAATTTTGGGGTAATGAATCACATCTATTATGATTATTTCAACATGATAGAATAATTTGAAGTCCTTGTCCCATCCCACTTCATCCAGCTTGTCAACCATGGAGTCACGCTCATCACGGTTTGCTTTCAACCATTTCTCATGCAGCGCCAGTGGGACGTTTATTTTCCCACTGGGCTTGCGCTCGCACAACCTGCGAAGGCGAGCTTGCTTGGCAGCATCCGTTTCTGGAAGCTCTGGAGCTGGAGGACCGGCATTGGGCTCAGGCATTGGGGGGCTGGCTTTGCTCTTGGCAGCTGTTGCTTTCACAGCCGCTGCCTTGGCAGCCCGAGACTTACAAAACGGGTCACCACTGCTAGAACCACCATCCCTACCCACTTGGACACGGAGAGCTTCCAGCTCCTTCATCATTTGCTTGCTAGCCTCATCCCGGGGATGTGTTGATCGATTCACTTCCCTATTGAATGCCCCCAGACACACGTGGTTTGATATTGAATCCAGTCACTTTTGGGGCCCATATTGGGGTGTACTATATATAATATGGATAACACTCACTATTTTATGTGAGGAGGAAAAAGTGAGGAAGGATTACCGTAAATGATGTCTATGTATACACTGCTTTGCAGGCAACATCAGGCAACAACATGAAAAATCCAAACGTGTGTGTTCATCGGTTTCTGGAAACTTTTGATATTAAGCTGGAAGGCACCAGTGGCCTTCCCATGAGAATTCAAGAAGGTTGACAGTATAGAAAACAATTTGACACTGAAGTTGTTCGCAAGTCATGATAAGAATCCAAACATGTTGGTAAATAAAAAATACACGATTCACTTTGAATCTAGAAACGTCCAATTAAACTTGCATTCAGGTGTTGGCCTCCCAACCCCCTGCCTGTCGCAGCTCGTTGATGGTTTGATCTTTGTCAGGATCATCTGGCCTACTCTTCTGGCGCTTCAAGTGGGCAGGGTTCCCAGATCCCGGAGGGCTGCATGGTGCTTGGGATGCTTTGCCTGATCCCCTTGCTGGAGTGGCCACTGGTCTAGCTGTCACTGGTTTGGCCAAAGCACGCTTGGGCTTGGATTGTGGGGCCTCATTAGACCTGATCTCCTCCTCTGTAGCCTAGGACCATCAAATATTCAACATAAATAGTATTGCGACACAATGATTTTGAATCAAATGGCATGGATAGGAAACAGTGAACATGATGGATTATCCCAATGGTTTTGCAGCTGAGATTCTGGTTGGGTCTCCTCCTTAGCATTCATTGTCCCCACATATGTCTGTGATTTGGAGGAATTGTTCAGATATTAATGCTAGAAAAAGGAATTACACCAAACATAATTGAAGCACTGCAGACAAACAGCCGAGTAGCTTCGGGACTTGCTGAATTCTTCAACCGTTCCAATTCAGCTTCATACTCCTGGAGTTGTATTGAGGTACCGAACATACCCCAAATAAAGCAAACCAATCCTAAAACTATCTAAAGATCACAAACAGAATCTGTGGCACACCCAATGACAAACCATACGGGTCACCAACCACTTGAAATCATTTTGAAATCATTCCGGAAAAGGAATATCCAATAAGAGACCCCAACTGGGGATAGTCTGTCATTGCGTTTGCCTTATCATAGTTGCATTCTAACACAAATGAAATCTCCTGAATTTTTCGCTCCATCGAGGAAGGGGAATCTCGCTCCATCTTTGCACCAATGAGCTTGTGATGCCCTTCAACCATCTCCGAGCAACTATGGGATTTACTAGGCCCCCCCCGCCTCATCCCAGCTTCCCAACTACCAACTAACAAGCTTGCTGCACAGGTCACACTGGCATCTGAGCCAAGGACTTGCCGATGGAGGGTTTGAAGAATGGCAGGGAATGGTCACCGCTGTAATTTGATAACTGCTGTTGAACGGCATCCCATTTGAGTTTTGGACGCTATAGTTCATTAGAACTTACCGACGATTCATGGCTAATCTCATTGGTGCGGTATGAAACGTTAAGTTTGGGGTGAAAATCTATGAAAATCTATGAAAATCTATGAAAATCTCCTATTTTCAGACATCTTCAATTTTGGCTAAATTACGGGAATATTACGTAAAATATTACGCATTTTTACGGACTTTTTACGCAAAAATACGCACCTTTTACGGGTCCCAGATTGATACGTATTTTTTACGTAATTTTTACGTACTTTTTACGTAAAGTACGTTTTTTTTGAAATTAGATGAAATTGATGGAGGAGCTTCCAAATTCTCAGCTTGGGGGTACCTGGGCCTTTGTGAAACAGCTGGAAACCAGTCTCCCGAAATATGGGCAGCTTTGGCAAGACCTTTTTTCTCACCCGGCACATGTGTGCCATAGTATGCGGTGGGCATCCAGTGGATATTTCCACAAGAATTCAGAGAATTAATTGAACAAAATGGGTTCAGCCTTCAACTTCCATCACCCCTGCTATAGGTCTAGGTTTTTGCTACAAACAAAATTTATTCCAGGAGTTCACCTTTACAGTAGAATGGATCAAGTTTGGGGCGCTTGGAGGTTGGTTAAATGTGAGTTGGGAAGAGGGGCCGCCACTCACCAAGTTGTAGGCTCTTTGAACCTCTTAAATAGCAGAACAGGTCATCAAGTCCTGCATCACTCCATGTGTCATCATCCCAGTCACATATATTTAAAATCCTTTCCGTAGAAGTACTTGGTGCATCTTCACAAAGCAGTTCTGGGGGGAGTGCTTCACGGTTGGAAATAAATCTACCGTAGTACTTTGCCAATCGCAATGCGAAGCGAGGAGGATATGTCCTTAGATGGAATGGTGTCCCGTGGTCCCTGAATCAAAACATCATGCAGTGACCCCAAAACTAGTTCCCCAATCTCTACAAATGGTGAAAGATAATTAGTCACTGTACTTTTAGGGTTACAACCAAAAATCCGTTTTGGAGGTCTATTATGTCTATGGACCCGGGAAACCACAATCCAGTTGAGAGGCTGTCCCCATTCCCACTAATTATATAATATTATAGATAAGAATCTGTGTGTTTTTCAAGAACTTTGTGCCAACGAAGGCCCGCTTCCCTCGTCCATTGGTCTACTTCCGGGTGCTTTGTTGGGCATGTTTAGCTAATTTGTCGCGGATCACCTTGGCCAGGACCCCCAAATCAAGAAGCTTCACTGACCTCGAATTGCTCCAGGCCACATGCCTCTTGGGAGTCAAGCTTCCGAACATAGCCATCCACCACCGAGCTTCGTAAACCTCAGGCGGAAGGCAGCAGGCACTTACTTATTATAGATCTTACAGTCTAGTACTTTATGTTGCTTTGATGGGTGGATCTTATATAGTCAAGGGTGTCCCAAATCCTGAATTAAACCTTCAACCATCACTTCTTCTTCATTGGTGTCAACCTTTCCCATCTAAAAGTAGAAAGGTGAGATTTGTCTAGCATAACCCTGTAGAATCAAGCTAGAAGCTCTGGGGAGAAGGTGCCATAGGTGTCTAACCCGTGGATGAGACAACAGTCGTGTAGAGCTTGGTTGCTCCAATATCCAAGCCCCGTTCATGGCAGAGACTACCATGATCAAAAGCACGGTCCTTGGTGCAGGAGTGGTCATAGTCATGTATATATATGTGCCATGTACTACTGGCATTGCATACTGTTGTCAAGGGCCCCCGTACTTGACAGGTTCATTGGTAAAATATACAGTAAATAATGCCAGCATACCCCATTATTGCATTCAACTTAAGAAATTGGTTCTTGTTACCCCAGCTGTTCAACCACTACAAAAGTGTGGGTAATTCTGATAAAACACACATAAAAAATACGTACCCTTTGTAAAGATGGATGAAGGTTCACTGCTGCAAGCTTGTTCCCACACCAAACCATGTCGATGTTGACATCCCCTAATGGGTTCCATGGTGTTCTTTTATGCGTTCCTGCCGATACGGTCACGTAGCTCGAACATACCAACCCAAACAATGCTTCGAATTCTCCCATCTTCGCGTTGAGCAAAGATACCAGGGCCAACCTAGGAAGTTTGTGTTGGGTCGGGATGATGACAATTCCGTAGATAGAAAAATCCATAGACACATGTTTAATTGTTTACCCATTCGAACCATATAGATACAGCAACATAAAAGTGTTTTAAATGATATAACTTGCTTGCAAGGAACGAGAACCCGCTTGGTGTCAACAAATCCATTGCATCTTGCTTCCCTTGTTTTGGGTTTCCCAGTGATATGTCAAATTGGGCAGTGGGCACACCGCTCGCCCGCATCACAGTTGAGACCCATGCTTGTCCACAGAAAAATTCCAGGAACCCGTAGGCCTGGGCCAGCAGGGCAAAAGTAAAATTCCAAGTAATGTCGTGCACCCGATAACATTCCATTGGCCAACCATTCGGGGGGCCATTTTTACGTATATTTAAAATTTATATATAATCATCTCAATTTCATATAGGCTCATAATTTCCAAACAAAAAACCTCTATTGTGGATGGTTTATTCTTTGGTTTACCACATTAGTTTGTTTCTCTATAATAGGTATTTGTTTTAGGTGATTTTGAAACTATGCTACATGCAGGATACTGGGGATCCATGTGCCAACAGGGAAAGGGAGAATCAGTGGATTCTTTGACACCTGCCCCCAGGCTAGCAGCTTGCAGCAACCCATACCCCCTCCAGTTTGCTTGGGCCTCGGTAAATATCTCAACTTCCGGGTTGAGGGCGAGGAGCGCGATGCTTGCCAGTAGCAACTGCACAAGAATAGGGAGTGGCTTTTGTTGAAATTCGTTGGGGTGGAACTGGGTCAACTGTAGCTATATAGATGCATGCATGCGTGAAATGTCATATATAGATACTATATATAATAATATTACAATAGATGGCACATAGGCCATATAGGGTTATAGGAATGTTTGCATGTGTGGACAGAGAATGGATTCGGGCCTGGGGAGCACCCATGGCATAGAGCCGGCCCATCACTAAGTCCAACTTGAAGCGGTTCGCTGGCTTTATCATTTTGCAAAAGGGTATCTGATTGGGATTCGGGCCAACTGGTCGGCAGGCATTGAAGACAGGTCACAGGCATGCATTCCGCTGGGAATACTGATAATTCCAACTTTGGACAGCCTTTCAATACCTTTCACTAATCATGATCAATTTAAAAATCATTGGGCTCCCAATGGCTTCCCATTGAATCCTATTATCACTCATATTGCATATATGGAAACACCATTCACTGCAGTGAATATAACATATGACATATATGGTAAAACATGCCAGTAGAGCGGTCATTGTGCAAAAACTGCTCAGGCAACCCCGCAGCTCTGGGCGGCCGAGCCATGCCTTTGATGCTCAGCACCTCGGCACCGGGTTCAGGCCAGTCGGTTTATGGAGTGAACCATGAATTAGATTAGATAAGTTGGGTTGGTTCATGTTGCATCCCAAGGGCTAGGTCCTTGATTTTAAAGTCTGTTCAAATCATCCTCAAAAGCAAATGGATGGACATAGTCTTACAAAAAAAGAGTTCAATGGTGATCCAGTAATCCGTTTTTTCTCCAGCTGAAGTTCTCCATGTAACCCTGCTTGGATTGAGATAGGGCTCGCGGTGAGCTGAGATTGGTCAGAACTTCCCATTCCTTGATAAGATCAATAAATAGACATCATAAACATTTATGCAAATTGTTTGTTCATTTTATATGTTGGTAATTTTCTTTGTGCAATCATGTTCCAAAAAATGAAAGGGTTCCAAGCCACCAATCAAGTATGCGGCCTTATCTATGAATCTACCCAATCAGAAGGCCTTTGGCACTTCTGTCGAAAAGGGCAAGCTTTGATGAAAGCTCACCTCTGCCAATGTTGCTAGCTATTTGCCCCAAGCGACAGTGATCATCTGGATCACACACACAGGTTTCTTGCGTTGGCCATAGCTTGTTGTCACATGTGAAGCATTAACAAAGAAAAATAGAACATCAAAGCTTTTGCTTTCTTGGGAAAATATCACTGTTGATGGGAAGCTTGTATTGATATCTTTCCGCCATGACCAGCTTGGGTATCCATCAGCAGCAAACCCTTCAGCCCAGGTTTGCAACATACCTTGTTGCCACCTGCGTTGCAAGATCATTGATGTTTTCGGTCGTGGCCTCAATGTCATCCTTCTTCCACTCACTGGTCGCGAACTGCCAGAACTTGTCCTGCAATTGGACAGAGTAGGATGGGAAGTGAACCCACGTGATTTTTAGGGTAGATAAATCTGGGGACAAGTATATAACCAAGCCTGTCAACATCACCTATAACTTTTACAATTTTCTGAATAGAGTATGGGGAATGTAGAATTAATTGTGTTCAAGCATTCTCAACATCCCATCATATACTGTACTTGGATCGGGAGGAGGCCAAGCTTTATTGATGATGTAATGATTTGATTTTTGGGGATGTTGAGGTAGATTTGATGGGACTAGATTTGTGGAGCTCTGTTTCTTTTCAAAATAAAATGCCCCACTGGGTAAAGGGTGGACTGAACAAAAAGAAGGCGTGGCAGGCGTGGTAATATACCGCAACTTGTTCGGTCCTCTGGAAAAGGCATCATTAGCTAGTTACCATGTTTTTGGAAAAATGTGAGAACCCCTTCTGTGGTGCTGGTGTCTCTAGATTTTCCCCAAATATAACAAGTATACGCATATATTTGCTGTTTTCTGTTTGCCCATAATGCGATGTAATATATTTCCTATACAGCAGGCTATCATAGTTTCTGTGGGTGTCCTCGTGGGCACTGTAAGTTGTAAGCCGTGGCCGGATCAACTCCGTGAATGCTCGTTTCAAAGCATGCCACTTTGCCTTTCCAAACTCCGACGTTGGACAGTTTCTGCGTGCAAAAGAGGCAGGGCTCGAAGACCTTCGTCGTCTCCTCTTTGGGGGTGCCTCCTCTTCCTCTGGGGAACCTTCCTTTCTGGGATTCTTCTTCTTCTTCTCCTGCTTGTCATCACCAGGGTTTGCCTGTTGTGGCTTCGAAGTCTTGGCCTTTGCCTGGGCTGCTTTCCTCCTCGGGACCTCGACCTTGGCATCCTCCTTGGCTGAACCTTCTACCTCTTCCTTCTCTGACCGCTCCTCCTCTTCTGAATCTTCAATTGGATCACTCTCATAACCATGTGTCTTCCACAAGTCTGGTCTGCTGAGTGCTGTGCAACGGGGCTTCTTCTGCTTGGTCTTCTTGGTCTTCTTGGATGCTGGCGCCTTCGTCGGCTTTGCATCTCCCATGCCATCCCCAGAGTTTTCAACTCTTTTGCTAGCTGGTGTCTCAGTGTTCTGGGGCTGTTTGGTTCTCACCCTCTTCGTTGGTGCAGGCTTCTCACATGCTCCAGCCCCTTTGGGATCCGCCGCCCCCTTCTCCACCACCTCTAGGTCCTCTGCCGACTTGCTTTCCTCAGTTTCTCTTTTCTTTCCTCGGGTTCCTTTCATTTCATGGGATTCAGGTTCCTTTTCATTCTTCTTCTTCTTCGGGGTTTTCGGCTTCAAATCTTTATCTTTTTTTTTGCCACTCTCTCCACTGTTCTTGCCAGTGGGCATCTTCTCAGCTTGAGATCCACTCTGTGCAACTTTTGTTCCGGGGGTTTCTTTTCCAGGGGCACCTTGACTGGCACCAGTTGGTTCTTTTTGAGTGGGAGTACGCTTTTGTTTTGGAAGCTTGGGGCACCAGCTGCCCTGCTCCTTCTTCTTGACCTCCTTTGTGTCTGTGTTCACACCATCTCCTTTCTCGTTGGGGTCATTGTCTTGGCCTGCCTTTGTCTTGGAATCGTCCTTTCCTTCTCCCTCATTCTCATCCTGACCGTTGACCTTACCTTCATCCTTCTCTGTATCCTCTTGATCAACTGCAGTCTGTTTTTTCTCCACTTTCTTGCCCTTTCCCCTTCCTTTACCTCGTCCCTTAGCTTTTGTGGGCGCCTTCTCCTCGTCCTCACCTTTCTTTCGTAGTCCAAGTTGTTGGCGCCGCAACACCTTAGGGAAATGCTGTTCTTGGGTTTACCGGTCTGCTTGAAACTTTGTGATGATGAAATTTGATGAACGGAAACAACTATTTGAAAGATCAAACAGTCCCATGCCCAAAAATTAAATGCACCCCAGAGAAACTTGGGTTTAGTATTGGATCTTTTGTTGTGGGCCAAAATGGTGAGTATTTAATTTTTGGGGAACAGGCTACTACAACAATGTTCCACTAGAAAACCAAAGAACTATTGGAACCGTGTTCTCATGGGGCTCGCTGTCGCCGAAGATGTGATACTTCTCTTCGGGGAAATCATAGGTTTTGGCCAAGTCGTCTAGCAAAGGGTGATCTTGGGTGTCCACATCATCCCCACCAAAGGGTAGAGATTCCAAAACCGGAACTGCAGTGCTGGATGATGAAAGGGATTCTTTCGCTTTCCTGGGCAAAACTGGCAAACCAAACTCGGTCACACTAAGGTACCCGCTAGAATCTAGTCACCCATTTGATGCAGGATGTTGCATGATTGAAGCTGAGGGAATCACAATCCAAAGGTCAAAATTTGCAAACCAAATCAAAGACTCGCTGATGTTACTTGTTTACGGAGAACAGCAAGTTTTTTCTGAAGTTCCTCAATTCTTTCCTCCTTTTTTTTTGGGCGACTGTCAAGATCACTGTCAAGATCACCCTTGGAACCTGGGTCATCTCCCATCGTCCCCACATGGTTTTCATTCAAGGCAAGGGATTCTTCATGGTATGAATTGTCCAATTCACCTTCACCTGCCTCCAGCATCCCTGCTGCTTCCTCCTCCCCCCTTTCCTTCTCATCTTCACTTCCTGAAAATTCCTGCTGCGAAACATGTTCGGGTTCCTCTTTGCACGGAGTCTCATTGATCTCAATCACCTCTGCTGCGGCAGGCTGGGTGGGTGCTTTTGGCGGGGTGCCAGGCTGTTCTTCCTCAGCGAAAGGTTGTGAGGCTTGGGGTTGGTCATTCTCCAGGGGGAGGCTATCCGCATTCTCATCCTCACTGTCAGGGTCTGATGGAATTTCTTCGCCGTCATCATCTGAACCATCATCATCATTGTTTTGCAACTCCTATGGGGCCAGTTGCCAAAACAAAAACCGGTGGAAAACATATCAGCACAACATATTCTATACTTGGGTGATATTGAAAAGGATGAAAATGGTCCCATTAGGAAAACACTATTTTGATCTGTTTTTGATAAACGCTTGTCCTCACGTTCTTCGGGGTCATAAACCAGAGCCATGAGCTTCCTGAATGGGAAAGACCTGCAAATCTGCCCCCTCTGAAGCTTCTGTTTGATCAGCACAAGACACTTCTTGACATCTTTGGCTGCCTGCTTTAGATCCCTCTTGGGGGGACACGGGATGTTCATGGTCATGTAGAGCATCTTGATCCTTAATTTGGGAAAAGCAGCTTTCAGGCAAAAATAAAAAATAAAGGGCACCCTCAAACCTTTTGGGAGCGAAACCACTGCAAACCCCAGGCCCATAGAACAAAATTGGAAATCTCAACCAGAAAATTACCAAGAAACTGGTGTTGAATCTTGGGAACAGTATGCATACCAACCGCGCCATTACTGTCTTGCAAACGCTGGCACAAAGGGCGAAGCACTGAATAGTTCTTAGCGGTGTGGTGGATATCTATCTTGAGTTTGTCTTCCCAAGCCTCCTTCCACAAGAGCACCCCATCTTTCCTAACACGATCCCGGATCTCCTCTGTGTTCTCCCATTCGCGGGAAAGCATTTGCAGGCTTGGCATGGTTGCCATGCCCACTGGGCTAGAAATAAAGGGCCACTCTGAGCGACCCTGGGACCAAAACACCTCAACAAATCTTGATCCAAAAAGCTCTAATTCAAACATGCTGAAAACTGCTAACCTCCTACTAACAAATGTCAGAAAAACTTCATAAGATGTCAATTGGTGAGGATCACTCGAAGTGAATATATTTTTTTATGTCCTTTCAAAACCATGATGGATGTACCTGAGCATCTCTTTTTGTAGATGTTTGAAAATAGTTGCGTTTTTTTTGAATGTAAGAGTGCGAACATAGACTGCTGGTTTCCCTTTTTGGTACTCTTATTCAATTGTGGGGCTGCCATCAACCACCATCCCCACCCAGCTAGCGGGCTGAGGTCAAGCACATCTTGGAAAGATCTCGAGTTCGACAATGGGGAAAATGGAAATGCGTTTGGATGCCGCAGCTGCGGCCGTTGCGGGTGCCCACCCACAATTTAATTTGGACCTTTAGTAGCCTCTATTGGGAGATAATCACTGAAGAATTGATGTTTATTGATATGTGTGGCTATTCAAGTACCATATATGAAGTTAACATATAAGTTGAAGGATATTGAAGGAATACCACCATTCAAAATACGGGTCTTTTCCAAAATACGGTATCTGGATCCCAAATACGGTATAACACCTGTAATTTAACATCAGGATACTATTTTTCAATACGGCCTTCAAAAAGGAAGCACAAAGAGGTTCTAGGTATATATATATATACATATCTTGATATGGCTTCCATCCGTGCTGAGAAAAACTCGCATAAGCTGGCACCCTCCAGTAAACAATCGAGTTTTCAACTTGAAATCCTCCTGATCATTTGGGGGAAATCCTTTACACATATTGGGGATTTGTAAAGCACGAGGCCTCGATGCTTCTCAGCGAAATGTCCTGGAGGGCCGTCCCCCTGGCTGCAGTTGGGGGATGTCTCCCTGGTTTGGGTTTGTCTGAAAGGTCGTATACAATTATCGACTTATTCTTTCAGAAACCCCAAACAGAATTTCTGAAAGGTAGAATCCTAGTAAAATTCTGCAAATGGCTAAAATATGAGGTAGATTATGATTGAACTTGTTGATCCTTTTTTGGGGGTTAGCTTACGGTGGGGTCAACATCATCCAGTTGCTCAACGGAGATCCTGATTTCAGTTGGATGACCGTAGCAGTCGTAAACTGGGCATTCCAGGGTCAAGTGACATATGAGGAGCTGTACCTTTGAAAAGAGTTATTATATAATATTATATATATATATATTTACATATACTTATATATATATATATATACATATGACATGTATGTATATATATAATTAACAGAGGGTTTTCGACAGGTTTCAACTTTCCCAAGGAAAGAACTCTACGTGTCCAGACCTTTTGGAGGTATTCATTGCATTCCTCCTGACCGGATAAGAGCTCAATGGGTAGGTTCAAGGGAAAAACCGAAACCAGAAACCTGTGTTTTTTCATCATTTTAAATAAAGCCATCCGCATAAAAGATAGTTTCCAGTGTTTCCAGGAGATATTTACAGATGGTATTTAATATTTATTTATAGAGGTTACATATTTACATATTTATAGATGGTATAGGAGGTTATAGATATTTATAGATGCTATTTATAGATATTTCCAGGATGTTCCACTGTTCGGGCATGGCTGGAGTTACCAGACAGGAATTCACCTTTGGGACTGTGATGCTTCCAACGAGACCTTTGGCGTGCAACGCGGGCAACGCGGGCAGTTTGAAAAACGCAGGGTCCAGAAACGCCGGGTGGTTCCCAGTAGGGTCGACATCATTTGTTTGGGGTGTGTATAACGACCTCGCTGTCCTCCCTCACTGGAATCATGGTTTATGTTAAGGGAATCATCCCCAAATGGCCGCAAGTTTCAGGTCAGTGAACCATTATAATTTACCCAGATACACACACACACGCATATATATATATATATTACTAGTATAATGTAATGTATTTGTGTGTGTGTGTTTGGATGTGTTTAGTATGGGTTATGTTTACCAGAAATATTCGGGGTTTAAGGGACCATTGCAGGACCCCCCTATACAACTCATTGGCGAAGAAATCAGGCATTGTATGGTGTTGTTTCCCGCAGGTTTTTCCCTTAACAAGAAAAACAACACTGGCAGGGTTGCTCCGATCTACCCTCTGGTAAACTAACATAACTATGGAAAATCACCATTTTTAATGGGAAAATCCACTATAAATCACCATTTTCAATAGCTATTTTGACATAACCAGAGGGTATCATCATAGTCACAAGGGCTTGTCTACCATCTACTGTAATTGGTACATATTGGTGCCATGGAGCTATAACGATGATTAGTACCATTGGTACCATAGCGACCATAGCTATACCCTTGGTACCCTCTGGTAATTTAACAGTTTGCTATTGAAAATGGCCATTGAAATAGTGAGTTGTCCCACTAACAAATGCCATTTTCAATAGCTACTGGTATGTCAAATTACCAGAGGGTAATTCTGAAAGATCAGTGATTTCACCCTTCGGGTGGGCTCGCAGCCCACGCAGCCCAGGAACCAGATGTGGGACTGGCTGGACACGAAGCAGATGAAAAATCGTTGCGCGGCTGGAAACGAATGAGTTGGATATCGAGATGTTCCACATGTTGGCCATGTACAATCTTCGTTAATTATAAAACATCATATATAGTCCCATTTATGTCAATGATATACCCACAAAAAAAAATATTCTTGATCATTTCCCATAGTTCCCCATGTTTATGATGGATATCTATATTTGGACTGGTCCAAAAACATCAAATCATAACTGGCACAGCTCAAGCTCACGTCTCAGTGCAGGGCCTGGATATCATCATACAAAATCCACAAATATCAATGGGAATTTCAGGATCCTAAAATGGAGGTACGTTAGTACATGTTAGTACCATATGTTTGGCCATATTTTGAAGGTATATCCGATATATCCCCTGAAATGAAGGCCTTCTAGGTTCCTGAAATGGCCATTGAATACTGGAATTCACGGAAAAAAACAACGCAAACTGGCATGACAACTCTCAAAACAGAAGTGTAACGCCATAAAATTTTAATAAATAGGATATTTTATCGCATTTTATCATATCACATCTTTTAGCGATCTCGGAACCGCCTCAAAGTGTGCATGATGGTCAGTAAGGTGAATCTTCCAGGTTGGAATCCATTGTCAAATCAAGCAGAGATGATATATGGGTCGATTCGTCGATTCATTTGTTCATTTGGCCCGGGGGTGATGTTTTTATACCACACGGAGCATTTCAGTATGGATTCTAAGACTCGACAAGCAATGCTACATATTTTCGTGAGGGAACGCTTGGAGACTTGGTGGATTGTTTTAAATCTGAATGGATTTTCTGGTTGGTGGTTTCACACATCAATTTCATTTTTCATTTCATATATGGGATGTCATTCTTCCCATTGACTCATATTTTTCAAGATGGTGAAAACTTAAAACCATCAACCATATTTTCCCATGGCTTACTGTAAGCCACAGGATGTTTTTGTCATGGCTTAATCCAGCATTTTGAGGAATCAGTCAACGCTCAGCAACGCGAGAGATAGTCTCAAGTAAGAACCTAATAAGAAATAATAAGAACATATTGACCCACCAATCAATTCAGATGAAGATAGTGGGTTTGCTTTTTGGGGTGAATAGTTCTTGGTTTCTAGACGCCTGATCCCATGAATCTCAATGCAATCCGAAAACCGCCATTCAATCATTGACAAACAGTTTTAGTAGATCATTTGAGGACATATCTTGAATTATGGTAGTATTCCGTAATGTTACTTCATGTTGTCCCCCAACATGAATGATAACATTCATTGGTAACCCCCAACATAAAAGATCATAAAAGTGTGTCTTCCTCCTCTTCAACACCCCATGTGCGGTTTTTTCTGCGCCAAGGCTACGGCTTGTGTATGGACGCCCCACATCCTGATCATGTGGGCACGCACGTGCACATGTGGACGTGTCGGACGGACCTTAGCCACTTGGCCCGTTTTTTTCGTCACCAGGTGTTGTTTGAACCACTGTAGGTTTATGGATGTTTTTGGTAGATATATGTATACAAAATATTGTAAGATGTTCCTTATTATCAGGTTTATCGAGCGTTTGTGATCTAACTATAGGTATCTATATACAACATATATATATATAATTATATAACACTATATGGTTTTTGGTTTCTGAATCCATGAATTAGTTGGATATATTTACCATTGAAAACCCATCCTTCATTCACCTTTTTTGTGGGCCGCCTATCCGGTGAGTTGTTCAGTTCAGTTCTAAAAAGCTGGATGGTTTCTTCGGAAATAGCTGGATGACACATAGTATTATCATTGTTGTTTATGAATATTGAGTTATATTTCTTACATTATGTATTTATCTATGTCAGCATTTGAGTGGGCTAGCTTAGATGAAATTGGACAATGGAATAAGGCTAAATCATGTTTATATAAACTGTGTTTACTCATCTCAAGAATCTTTTGTATCCCCATTTAGGTTCGCACACGCACGCACACGCACACACACTCTACATGTCTGTGCACATTGAACTTATATTCCCATTGATGTTGTTTTCGTAGTGCTTCTTGGCAGCTTAACATGTCCAGTGGTGACGGTTCCATCATTGGAATGTTCCGCAATTGACTGACCCTGAACATTGTATTTGATGATATTGTCATCACATCAAACTACATCATCTGGTTGGTGGTTTGGAACATTTTTTATTCCATAATATATGGGAATAATAATCCCAACTGACTTTCATATTTTTCAAGATGGTTAAAACATGTTAAAACCACCAACCAGCTATTAAGGGATATTAAGGGATATTAAGGGAATAACCACCCATTAACGCAGGTATACCACCAACCAGTCGTGAGATTGGACACTCTCCTGTGGATTCAGGCAACCAACGATGGCTTTTCCAAGACATCGACGGCGGTACAACGAGCACAACCACAACGGAGGCCGAGTGATTCAGCCGGGGGCTGCCCGGGAAAGGTCTCAGGGGGACTTGGCCCATCTTGGCCCCCCGAAAAACTCGACGTAATCCTCCCAGACAATTGGGCTATGTATGGCTATGTATGGCTATGTATGGCTATGTATGGCTATGTGTCATAGGATGTCATAGGACAAGAACAGCTTCCAGACCCCTTTGCTTTTTTGGAGGGTCCATGGATGCCCAACGACCAACCTGTGACGGTGCCGGGTTTATCTCAAAATGGAAGGCGGCCTTGAACTGGCAATGTTAAAGGGAATATAATGATGATCATAATCCAGTTGAGTTGGGTACAACCCCATGTCTTTCCAAAACGGTCAACGTACTTTTGGATCTTCGAAGCCTTCGAAGCGGGGTGAAACCAGCTGGGAAAGGTGTATGGCTTGATCCTGCCTTGCTGAAAACCAGGCGTCAACCGAGACAACAACATCCACCACGAGCGCAACTGGCACCGCCAGCACCGCCAGCACCACCAGCACCACCGGCACCACCAGCACCACCAGCACAACGACCCCAACGCCACTGAGTGCTGTCAGAAACTCCGCAGCTGATTGGTTTTCCTCCCAGTCGCTATAGGGTGAAGTGTGTTTTAACACCAACCTCCCAAGTTGACATTTTTGGGAGACCCAGAATGGACATTGGGATACGCAGGGATGCAATGCGTGAGGGCAATGACATGCTTGGCAAGATATACCCCTAGATTTGGCCTTATGAAGCAGATCCAAGTCGTCACCAGTGTATGGAATGACTATTCAATACCAAAAATCGTCAAATTTCAGGTCACTTCGCTGTTCCTTCAGACAGAAATGGACAGAATGTACTGGAAAACATCCTGCAAGGTGGTGTCCCTCAGTTTCAAAACTCCTGTACAAAGCGTTTGAAACCTATAAGGTACTAACATCGTTAACTATATAGTATATCAGTCCCTATGGATCCAAGTACCTTCTTAGGAAGTGTTTGGGGTATGATTGATGGGGTTAAGTACCTTCTCAGACAGTGTTTGGATCCATAGGGAGTATATATATATATATTATTATACACACGTGATTTACCATGGTCAATGAATTGATTAAAATTATAGTTCTGATCTATTTAGTCTATTTACATATGCCATATACTCAATCGTTCACCTCGTTATTTCCCCAAGTGGTCGCGAGGAAATTGCCAGCTAGAGCCCCTGGTGGAAGGTTCCGGCTGCACACGTTCCTCAGATTGCTGAGATCTGATGGGTGATACTGACTGGCGGTGAAAACCATAGGAAAACCATAGGACAATAATGATATAACCATGATATATCCATGAAAAATTGTGATTTAATGGATTTTAATGGGATATATAGCTGATGTATGATAATTAACTAAGTTGTCGAGCAGAACTCCAATTTCACTATGGTGTACGATAATCACAATTATAGTTAATGGGATTTCTAAAATCAGCTAGTAGCTGGGGGGCCCACAGCGCCCCACATTGTAATTTATGTTTTGCTATTTGCCCTTCTGTAAACTAGCATAGATGTGAAAAAGCCACTATTTGGGGATCATTTATGGTATAGGGATGGGTTTTCCACATCTATGTTAGTTTACTTACTCTAGGGTATGAATGGGGAATTCTACTTATTGCTTCTAACCTCTAACATGTTTTATCTTGTAAGCTTATGATTATATACTCTGATATTTTAATTTGTTTCTGGAGCTTTTCTTCGCTGGTCCCCCTCATGCACTCGACGCTGCGTGACGGTTGAATCTGACGTCGGGCCTGCTTTTACGAACCAGCTAAGTTGGTGGCTTTCTAACTCCTTTAACATCTTTTACCATAATTTATGATATTTCTAACGCACTAGTTAAGGTAATTATGGGTCTATATATAGACTACGTAGCTGATTATCTTAAATATCAATGAAAACCAATGACACATGCCCCATACTCGCTGTTAATCATGCACCCACTTTAAAAGAATATGTCATGGTTTTGCTTAGATAAAACACCAGTTTTCACCAGATTTACATCATTTAATTCTTTAAAATATAATAAAAGTATCATTCGCATATACTGTTCCATTTGCTGTTGCTCATTAAATGCATGCTGATTCATCTCCATGAAATCCCATTTCTGAAGTCAGGATGTGATACCCATGAAAATGACCCAAAAAAAACGGAGTCAATCCTTCAACGTTCCATGAAAACCTCATGAAATCCATATGAAATCCAACATTTTCCCATAAACACCTCATGAAATCCAGCATTTCCATACATTTTCCACAAACAACTCATGATCTCCCCGAGAACTCCGCCACCTTCCTTGAGTTTTTCTTGAGGTTTGGCCGTTTTCGAGGCAGAAGCCTTTGGACTTGGAGAGTTTCTCGACAAGTCGAACGGGAATGTCATCATCCCAGTCCTGACTTTCACTCCATTTTTTCAGAGGGGTAGGTCAACCACCAACCAGATATATATGTATAGTATATGTATTTGAATATGAATAGGAATATGAATATGAATGTGTGTATATATTATATTTTATTGTATTATATTATAGTATGTATTAAATTATATTATATCATATTCTTATCGATTTGTTATTTTTCATTTACACATGTATATATATATATATCTTTCATATTCATGCCGGGCCCCCCTTGGATAGGTTTCTGTTGGTTTAAAATAAGTTTTATAGCTTCAATAACGAGAGTTTATTGCGGATATATATTTTTTGAAAAATAACGCATATATATATATATATGTGCAGCTGGATGGGTTTATGAACATACTTTTAACTGAGAGGATCCTTTTTCTTTTCACAAGGTGTGATTTTGCAAGTGAAGGATCCCACGCAAGTGAGGATGTCTTGGCCCAATCGCAAGAATGAAGGATCCTAGCGGTTTTTGTTAGATTTTTGTCAATGCCCATAGGATCCATGGCGCTGGTATATATGCTAACATGACTGGGGTATATTGATGGGATCCATTGCTACCATAGCATACATGGATCCTATGGGATGGGACAATGAATGATGATGATCCAAAAGACAATATGATACTATTCGACTGATATACTGCGGAGGGAGTGAAACCACCAATTATGGTGGCGCAACATCGTATCAAAGTACTGGAGAGTGTTCACCACTATGATATTTTCAGAAATATATCTAAAATATCAGTTTTCAGCTTTTACTTGTAATATGTGTAAGTCTGTTGCACCCCTCGGCACCTACTCGTGACCATCAAGGGCATCTCCTTTGAGGAATGGTCAAGAGACAGAGGGCCGACACCGATGTCTCGAAAAGCTGCGGAGTTTCGAGGAAGCAGACAGCTTTGTACATGCCATAGGCGGGCCACGTCTGGATCTGGGGTACCCTCTGGTAATCGTTTGCACTTTGCGAAGTGCAAAAGCATGATTTTGAGTTGAGCGACCCCAAAGCCTTTCTGTATTGTTTCAATGGGGGTCCATGAACTTTTGCCGTAAGCAAAGCCCTGGTTGGCGCAAGGCGACGTAAGGGGTTTTGTCAAGAATGTGCTGCGTAAAGCATTGTGTGCAAGCACCTGTGTGATACCTGCAGAGCAAAGTAAAGAGATGCATGCAAGTTGGACACCCGCACCAGTTGCCAAGCAATGAAATCATTACCTTGGGCACTGGGCATTCTATGGAAGCTACATAACACGATTGATGAAACCATTTCATGAGTTGAAACCCAAATGTCTCATAATTGATTGTTTTCATGTGGGCTGTCTTTGGTCGTGTTTCATTTTTCTTGTGTCCCAACACCATGGCGAAAATCTACGTAAGCCGTCGTGCCACTGTGAAAGGAACATCTGAGAATGCGTTTGGCTCTTCATCCTCATCCTCTTCAACCTCTAAACTCTAGCTGGTTTTGATCTTCACCACGTTGATGCTGATGGTGAAAGCAATCATTTTCGATCATATCCCAGCACGGAAGGGTCGCGTAAGCTTCTTACAGTACACTGTTTGCGCGTAAGCCGGGACTGTGTGCGCGCAAGCTAACGCGTAAGCACATCCAAACAACATGGCAAAGCAGATACGTTTTTGGCGCGGCTCGGTTGGTAAATTATCAAACTAAATGAGTGGTTGTTTATAGCAATGTTAGATTATCAGAGGGTAATAAAGGGATCCCAACAACGATGATGGAAGAACAATGTGGGAATTATTGTCCCGAAACCATGGTCATTTGACCGACCATTTGAGTAAATTATAAGAGCCTCACCACTACCTTGCTAGAACTGATGGTTGCAAGAATCATCCTCATTGGTGGCCTCATTTCAAGCGGTGAATTACTTTTATTTAGCAAGAGCCAGAATGCGGATAGATAATATGACCGGATACAAAACCAACATAAACCAACAACAGGATTTGGATATGGGCCAAACTCGGGCGACCAACTGATCGACACAGTTAATTAGTAATTTTCCAATATTTCTGGGGCTGACCGTGATTATCCATACATATCCATGTGCATCCATGAGGAGTCAACTGTTATTTTTGGTATGGTGATTGAACGTTGGTTGAATTTTTGGGACCTCTGTGTGCCACTGTGTGCCAAGATACCTCTGTCAAATATGCCACGTCATCATCATCATCATCATCATCATCGTCATCATCATCATCGTCATCATCATCATCATCATCATTCCCATAATTATGTGCATTATCTACCCATTATATCCTAATTTCACTACCAACTATGTTGCTTAAGTCGCAATTTATCTTAGTTAAATCACAATCACCACCATCCCAAAGGTGTTATGACGATGAAATTATCATAATCAGAATGCTTTTTGCTGATTAGATCATCAATGATCATCACATAAAATCACTGAGCCGGTTGCCGCTGCGCGTCCGCTGACCGGCACCGTTTCACCCTCCGATTTCACCCGCAGTCTCACTCGCGCCCGACCACGCCAGGGCAGGAAGGATTGGTAAGGGTAGGGGGGGGAACTCATATGATTTGTTTTTTTTATGTGATTTTATTGTGATTTTATGGTGATGGTAAGGTGATTTCATGGTGATGATAAAATCACATCAAATCGCCATCACCATCATCGCCACATGCATCGCAGGCAGATGCGAAATCTGGCAATGCATCACTCGCGCGCGGCTCAAGATGTCAGCGGGGCCTGGAGGACACGGGCCTTTTTCACAGGGCTGAAGAGCCCGGAACAATATGGGGATGGCTCAGAACCTATTACCATATTAAGGGATATTAAGGGAATAACCACCCATTAACTTGATCCATTTTAAGTTGCCAACAGGGTGCTATATGGGCAAGTCAATAGGAAATTCATGGAATTGAATAGGAACAATGAGTATTCACCAGTGGATCCAGGACAATCTTTCACTCATCCCAGATTAGCTCACCATGGCCCATGGTGCTGGAATATTTACCTACAAAACTGGTTGATTTTTGGGGTACCCTCTGGTAATTTAACATAGCTATTGAAAATGGCCATTTATAGTGAGTTTTCCCATTAAAAATTGTGATTTTCCATAGCTATGTTAGTTTACCAGAGGGTAAATGTAGGGATTCATATTCCAGCACCATGGTGAGCTAATCTGGGATGAAAACAGACAATACCCTCTGGTGCAAAGCAAGCAATGGTTGATCGAACTCACACCTTACCCGATACCACACATTAAATTGCCAATGCATTGCATCTACGACCTCGGTTTATGCCAGGAGGTCTGTCCGAGTCCCCCGAAAGCATCGCACTGGTGGACTGGAAACAGCGTTACGTCACGGCAGAGGTGGGAACAACCATGGAAACCACTGGGAAAATGGATGAAAATTGTGATTTGAGCCACAAAACCTTAGGAAAACAATGGCTTACATTACCCTATGGATCCAAACACTGTCTGAGAAGATCCCATCAATCATACCCCAAACACTTCCTAAGAAGGTACGGCTGGATCCATAGGGATTACATATTTATTGTTGTGAATTTTTGGGTTTGTAGCCGTCGTCAGTTGGCCAAGGGCCTTTCATGGCCTTTCTGAATGATAAGGACTCCCCATCAACCAATGATCGATCATGGGCCATGGGGAAACACAAAGCGAGGCTTTTCCATATCGGCAGTGGCAATATAGATATACACAGATATGCACATAGATATACATAGATATACATGATACATACATTACAATACATTACATATATCATATATATAATAAAATATATATATAATATATTACATTTATTTATTTATTTATATATTGATTTGTTTAACATATTAATGAATTAGGAACTTTCTACATCTAGGGGAGTCGGATTCCTCTGGATTGGCAGATCGCAGGAGAGAGGCGAAATGGGGGCCACGGAGGGGTCCTTTGTCCCCGAAGCGCTCTTCTATTTGACCGATGCCTGGCATGCTGCGGGTCGTTTTGGTGTAAGTTGTTCTTTCCTTTAAACAAAAAAATATGTACTGTATATGTAGTATATTAGATACAGATAGATACAGATATATAGATATAGATTGTAGTGTAGGATTGAAAAAGAGCCTCTAGTTGGAACCTGGCTGATATTTAAGAGTTTGTTCACCAAATGGTTGAAATTCATCGTGGTAATGATATGCTGGGACCTGTTGTTTGATGTTTTTTGCAAGGATGAACGCCAATCCTGGTTTATTAGGGTCCCCAGCAGCGCTGAACGCAAAAGTGGTTGGAACATGTTGGAACTCATGATACGACGGTTATCACGACATTGGGGCATTCTGATAAAACCACTGCTGAATTTATACCTTCCAGAAGGATAGATCAAAATTGTGATTTTAGTAGGATGTTATTGATTGTTATTGTCTACCTCTTTCTTGGCTTGCTATGTTTACACACGTTGCTGATTTGATTTAGGTTTTGAATATCGATGTTTGGTAGGCAAGACGGCCGACTTTGATATAGTTTGATGTTTCAACCCGCATTTTGGAAGATTCAGCTCAGATGGTTATATATGATATTAGTGTTGGTTGAGGTTCTAAAATGTTAATTATACCAATATAATAAGGTATCATACCTCATTATCCAGCTATATATTGGTTAATTTGATTGGTTATATATATATATATATTATTATATTGTGTTATTGGGTAAAATGTTATATAATTAACATATGAACATTCTAAAACAAATCCAACTATGCTTCATGTTGGTTATATGCTTGGTTGAATCCTCAATTCTTCTCCGCGGCTTCTGCATCAACTGCCGAAAGGAAGTGAAGCCCGGGCGGTACACACTAAAAGCCGCGTCCAATGGACTCTACGTCAAGGCAATTCCTGGAGGTCCGAGCTGGTTGGGGGGGATACCACGGGGTACCCATTTTGCCATGGTCCATTTACCCCACCCATGGTCTCCATGAGATTCCCACTTGATGGTATTTCCCCATGTAAATCCAATATAAATCCTGTGTAACCACCCAGACACCACAACAATTTTGCACGAGAAGAGCCGAAAAAGCTTTCTTTAGCTCAGCTCAGATCAGGGCGAGTGGTGGCGGAGACGCAGAAGTGGGACGACTGGGAGCTCTTTGAAATGGAAACCAAAGATGACAAGGCTGGAGATCTTTCGCTAGATCTTAGCCTTTGCTAAACATACAAATAGCTATTGAAAATGGCCATAGAAATAGTGGATTTACCCATGAATAGCATAGTGATTTTCCATAGCTATGTAAACTTTTACCAGGCCGGGTGCACGGGCCATGGGATCCGTGAACTGGTTACCACCTATTAACTGGTGCAGGATTTTGCTGGCCCATCCACAGTAGGTATAAGTATAGTTTTCACTAACTCCATGGCCCATCTAGTCAAACCATCCAACAGTTGGTGATTGAAGAGTGGCTCGAAAATGATGGTGACATTGGCTTTATACTAGGCTTGGATTGATATGGATTGATATGGGAGAAAAATGGAAAATGCCATGAATATATGTGGATATCATGCAATTATAATGGAGGTTAAATGGGAAAATAGGAGGATCTATTCCATGGATATGTATGAGGGCAGGCGTGTTGTTAATATTCGGTAATTGATTACCCGTAGAAAATTCCATGGCATTCCAAGGCGCCATTAATCCATGACAGTTGGTATGCTATCCTCAAATCCAACATATGTTCCTAGCAGTGAGGTTGGCCACTGCTTGTACTTCTAAGTTCAGAGACACTCACAGTGACCTGTCACTCTGCTGGCTTGCAGAGACTCTGTTCCACATCCATGTCCATCCAACATACCCATTGGAAATCGAATATGGTAATAGAGACTCCCTCAGTATATGGATATAGATGGATGGATGCACGGATGCATGGATAGTGTGATCGACAAAATGTTAATTTGAGAGATAATTTAGAACAGAAAACACATATACATATATATATATATGGTAACCGACAGAATTATGGGAAAAAAAAAACGTTCAACTTAGACAGGCGGCGCCTGCGTCCGATTTTTCCATAATTGGGTTTTTCCCCATAAGGGTTCAAAATATCCCGGAAGTGATCCGAACCTTTTTTTTCCATAATTCTTGGAGGTGGCCATTATTTCCATAATTGATTTTTCCTGTAAAATCAGGGGGCTAGGGCAGATTGACCGGTTTTTCCATAATTATTTTTTTCCATAATTATGTTTCCCATAATTAATGTTTGGGGCTCCACCTGTTGGACATGTCATGGATCCACAATTCAAACCCCTTTTTTTGGGGGGTTATGGAAATATGTATGCAAATGCAAGTATGTAGTATCAACCCAATTGGTGGCTTGGCAAAAGGATACATCCCGCATATGTATGTACGTACAACAATGAGTTTTGGTGGTGCAATTGTATATCAATGGAAGACTTAGGGGCATATACCAGATCTTTAGACACATATTTTCTATAATTCAATATTCCCCCTTAAAATGCATTCAAATTGCGAATCGATGGACACACAGTCACCGACAGAATTATGGAAAAAAAATAATTATGGAAAAAAAAGGTTCGTAACTTTTCTATCATAGACAGGCGGCGCCTGTAAATTGAAACGTTTTTTTTCTTTCCATAATTCTGTCGGGTGCTGTATACAAATATATCATATGCATTCATTTGCATATAGAAAGATAGAAAGTCAACACAAAAAGGATAGAACTGTGTTTCCAGGATGGTATGTACTTCGAGGATGTCTCCTCTATCATTTCCAGCGTTCCAAACATGTTCGGCATCGCAGGTTGCGTTTCGCAGTTTTCACCACAATTACCTCACCGCAGATGCTGATGGCAAAGTATGGGCTGGAAGTGTCCTGGCAATTTTTAAGAAACCAGTGGGGATCTAAAGCGGTGGTAATTGTCTACAAATGGTGATTTAAAAATTTAATGGGCATATAATATGATATAAACAACAATATCATATCATATCATATCATTATCATATCATTATCATATCATATCTGGGTGTGTCTGAAAATGGGTATACGGTAACACCCAGTTCCATCGATATTTTTTTCCATCAACCATTGGAATTCGGGGCACCCATATTTTTTGGAACTGGGAGACAGCAATTTCAAGAACCTTGAATATGAAGATTCCGGTGGTCAATTTTACATTCACAATAAGTATGTATATATATATATACGTGTATATATATATATGTATAATGATTATACATGTATAATATTATTTCATATGCATTTATGTTGCGGATTGGTTGTATATAGATATCGTTTGAATGGAGTTTGGTCCAAAGGCTGGACGCGAGAAGAGCAGACAGAGTTCACTGTGGTGAACCGCTCGTTGGCGGCGTGGGAAGAGAAATATGGAGCCGCTCGGTGCTACCGTGGCTTCGGTGTCTTTTCTGTTCGGTGGTACCCGAAATGGGTACAGCTGCAAGATGTGGAAAACCAATGGTTTCACTTGGAAAATTATCTAATTACAAATGCAGGGTCCCCACATCTATGGCTGGTTGGTGGTTTCAACCAATTTTCATTTTCCATAATATATGGGATAATCCTTCCCATTGACTAATATGTTTCAAGAGTGGTTTAACATAAATTAGCTGGTTGGTGGTTTGGAACATTTTTTATTTTTCCATAATCATCCCAACTGACTAATATTTTTCAGATGGGTTGAAACCACCAACCAGTCATGGTTAAATCGCGCTACTTCATTGTCATACTCTTAGGCAGAAGTTTAGCAGGTGGGTATTTTGACTGGCTCAGAAAGACCTCCTGCTGGGACCTCCTGGAGAAAAAAACAAGAGAAATGTACCAGTCATGAGTCATTTTATTGTCGAACTGTCGGATTTCTTGGTTATGAAACGGTTGGATTTGATAATCACTAACATGGATCTTGGCAATCTTGGAAGTACACAAAATCCGATTATTACATTTCAGTACATTTCATATGGGTGTGTCTGAAAAAGCTGCGTGCCCCCAAATAGCAATTTTAATAGGGAAACTGGGAGAGTTTAGAACCAATTGGAATTGGGGGCACCCTATTCTTCAGACAAACCCATCAAGTGGATGACAACCCCACTAAATCCCAATGTTCATAGTAAAATCAGCATATGATTTCCCACGTTTTGTCCCCATAAATCCCATGATATAACCCATCAAAATGGCCACATTTCAACAACGCCCATTTAATATATATTTAATATAGTTATGATAATGGGTTGTCATAACTTAAAACTATATAAATGTCCAAAATATACTCAAGGATTCAGATTATATTTTCAATGGTTTCCATAATCTTTAAAACTATAGATATAACTCCCATAATGGGGTAAACCCTAGAGAAACCCCAAAAAATAACCATAATCCTTAAGAGTAGTGTGATATATGGAGGTTATTGATTTCAGAAAATGAATTTCCATTCAAATTTCTCCAGCATTACCATTTTTTCCATTCAAATCCCAGGTCTCTTTCCAGTTCGGGCCGGTTTTTCCCAGGCGCAGCTCACCATGCGCAAAGCCCTGCCCTCCGCCGCTTCCACCGGCCTCGTGTGCGCCTGGCCCTCGGCTGTGGCCTCGGTGCGGTGTTGTGGCTCGGCAGGTGTGAAGGAAGTCATGGTGGTGTTTGATGACAAGAAATGGTGGTTAATATGGGTTTAATATGGGTTTAATGGTGGTTTAATGGTGGTTTAAGATCATTGGGACCATATACCATATTTAATGGTGGTTTAAGATGGGTTAAGATGGGTTAAGATGGGTTTAAGATGGTTTAATGATATCTTTCCATGATGACTCATGGTGTTGGACTTGTTTTTTTCCTGGGTGTTTTAGATGATTTACCCTCGGCGGATCCGGGGGATCATGAACTGAGCCACCGTCGTAGAATGCTTTGGGAGTGAACGAAAACTATCTAAAACTTGGAGTTGCTGATGGTTTTTTTTCTTGTTTTCCCGGAAATTGACCGTTTGGGGGAATCGATTTAAGGGAATCTTTGTTCATTTTTAGGGTTTCTTCAGTAAATCCAAGTAAATCACTTGTAAACCTTGGATAGGCCACTTATGTCAACCAACTTAGCTAAGGATTGGGGCATCACACAAAAAAACAGGGATTTTTCACCCACTTGCCTAAGAATGGTTCAATATTGCTTATAATCTCATGGCGCTAACCCCCTGGCACCTGGACAGTCCCGACTTTGTGTAAATCCCCGGAGAAAAAAACACATGGTTTCTTTGGGGGTGTTTAATATGAACGGGGGAATGGTTCACACACACACATACACATATATATATATATACATACATACATGTGATTAAATCAAGTATATCATCATTATATTCCCATTAGATTCCCATTGCCTTTAGGGGGATGCGATTACTGATCTAGAGAAGAAACAACGGGGTTTGGTGTCAAATGGGATGAAGTTCGACCAAGGCGGCTGGCTGGGAAATCCCCTATGAATGGATGAATTAGGGAAAATCATCACACGGATGATTTTCCAGCAATATTTCATAGAATTGGATGATGGGAAAATTTACAGGAAAGCCCTATATTTGATGGTAAAAACCATGGTTTCCTGTAGATTTTCCCTTAAACCAATCCATTGAAATATTTGATTGGAGGGTTTTTTCAAAATCAGGACTTTCAGTTGGCTTTGGAACGAGTATGAAGAGGCAGCATATGGGATTGCAGCAAGCCTTTAAGCCTTTGGGGGCGATAAGATTGGGGATTAAAGCAGCGCCAGGTGCTGTCAATGGCCTGTTGGCCGGATAGAGGATGGACACCAGATAACAAAGATTTGTGACCCAGAAGTTTCCGTTGCTTGTTAACTCCAATATCAGTAACTAGGGCCTAGGGTTTCATATGTGTTTGTGGTATGCATATAATCATATATATATAGATACATAAATCAATATATATATACAAATAACATCTATAGATCAATTTACATACATCCATCCATCCATCCATCCATCCATGCATGCATGCATGCATACATACATACATACATACATACATACATACATACATACATACATACATACATACACACATATACATATATACCAACAAATTCAATCTGAAGATCATAGACAACAAGTTACATCACTGGGGAAGCCACTAGCCACTTCCGATTCAGGTTCCGATTCCAAGGTGATGCTGGAGGAGAGTTTCTGGTCCCAATGTGGTCCAGGAGTCATTTCCATAGCTGGGAAATGCATGGGAAATCCTCGGAAAGTATGAGAACATGTGGAAAAAAACCATAATAATTGATATTGCTTAATGGAAAAACATAGGAACTATGGGGACATGTGGGATTTGTTTTTCTATACGTGGAGGTTTTAATGGGGAAAAAATGGATGTTCCAGCTAGCCATGTTTGAGTACCGCCGGGTAGATGGTTTACCCCGACTGTTCCACTCGTGTCAAGTCAGCATTCAGAAAAGCAGCCCATGGCATGGCTGGATGATTTCAACCATCGTTTTCATTCCCATTGGACAATTCATAGAATTGGATGATGGGAAAATTTTAACCGGAAAACCCAAACAATTTGATGGTAAAAACCCATGGGTTTCCGGTTAAGATTTTTCCCAAACAAACCAATCCAGTGAACAATCCTAGTGATTCTCCATAATTCTCCCATTTAGGTATCCATTTAAGTCTCAGGCTTTAGGGCTTTAGCTTCCTTTGTGGTTCCTTCATGTTTCCAGTCATGTTCCAGTCATCCCAACCAGCCGGGTCGCGTCCGCCGGGTTGGGATTCAGGTTATGGATGCTTTGAAAACAAGACCTTCGCGCAAGCCAGTGGCTGGGATGATGTGACTGTCGGCCCATGCTGGTGCCCAATACAATGACGTGACATGTTAACGTTGGTTCAGAAAATCCTCAGTAACTATAGATGGTTATCTACTATAGACCATAGATACGTATATTATAGTTGTTAAGTATGATTGGTTTATACTCTATACATATACAGCTATAGAGAAATTTCTTAAATCCTAGTGAAAAGAAACGTTATTTCAACATATTTCAACCAACTCAGCCATGCTGCTCACTGCACCACTTTTCTGGTTGAGGCGAGATTTGCAAGCAGCATGGCCTGACACTTTGCACTGAAGAGCTGTTGAAGTCGTGCAAGGCTGGGTGGGACAAATACCTGTTTTCTATCAAAACCATGGCATTTCCGGACAGGGTTTTTGTTCAAATCAGGAAATCTGAAGTTCATCATCTCATGGTTTCGGATGTTCCCTTCTTATCCCTTACTGGTTGGTAGTTTGGAACATTTTTTATTTTCCATAGGATATGGGATAATCCTTCCCATTGACTTATATGTTTCAAAATGGTTGTTGCACCACCAACCAGATTATTATTAACCATCATTAAGCATATAATAACCATATATTAACCATATATTAACCACCAACCAGCTCATCATTTCCAAAATCTCAAGCCGTTCGCGTCTCGCTTCGCCAGGACTGCAGCACGTGCGGCTCCAGCGGGTTGGTTTGGACATCCACAGAGTGCTCAGAGACGGAGCCTGGTCAGCGATGGTCAAAATGTCAAAACGTGTGGTTATTTTTCCGGCAGAGCGAGCCCAAGAAATACCCTCTGGTAAACATACAAATAGCTATTGAAAATGGCAATTTATAGTGGATTTACCCATTAATAGTGGTGACCAGAGGGTAATATAGGTGGGAAATCTTGGAAATATGTTTTTTGAATATATATCATTGTTGTAACCACATTGTCATTTTGAAACTAAGTGGCATTCATGAATGCGCCTAACTGTCAATTCACATTTGGGACAAAAAAAATCCCATAACCATTCTCGATCCCTGGGAGACGAGGTAAACCATGGTAATCCAATCCAGTTTTTTCCCCAATCATGAGATACCAGAAAAATATGATTTTCATATACCATGAAAATGGATGAACATGGCCCGGGCCATATTAAAATCCAACCAATATCATCCAATGATTTTGGTTGGGCAATTATGCATTGGAGTTTTCATCGACAGTTTCGGATGGTTGATCAGTGACATATCAGTGACGTAACGTTGCTTCAAGTGTGAACACTTCATGCGATCATGAGTTTAATATACTGTATTGTCATATGTTTTGTTTCATTATTTTCATGTGATAAAACACACACTAACAAACAAGAAAAAACAACATTCAAGACCCGGCTTTTCATGACGAAACTTTCAGACGATTGAATCGTTTTTGTCATTGCATGGTGTGCTGAGGAGAGGCTGACACAACGGAGACTGAATCAGCGAAACGATCGCGCAGGCGTTTTCAGCGAACTTTGTGGCTTGGCTGGTTATGTAGTTGCTGGATGTTGCTGCGTTTTTCGAGCACATGGGGTTATAAACTTAGACCCAGTTGCAAATGGGATACCCTCTGGTAAACTAACATAACTATGGAAAATCACAATTTTTAATTGGAAAACTCACTATTTCAATGGCCATTTTCAATAGCTATTTGTATGTTTACCAGGCCGGGTAGCTATAGAGAACCCGGGGGACTGAGTTGCTAAAAGTCAGATTATCGCGGCATGGGATGTATATAGCTGGCATGTACTATAGGCTTATTGCTCATGTAAGTGGGCAAAGTGCTCGGCAACTTGGGATCGAGGGCCATTGATTACCCAGCAAAGCTGGATTTTTTGCATTTTGTTATATTTTCTTCATCTTCCGGAGGCTCGAATCTATTAGACTATTAGACCTCCATTTTCCATCCTTGGAAGTTCAAGATGGATATGTTTCTGATTGTTTCTGTAACTCATATGGTGTGATGTTATTTTCCCTATAATTTCCCATGTTCAACGGTGAACCCAGCGTTTCTCCCTTGCGGTTGGACTGTTGGATGCGGTAGCGGGCGAAGGTCCCTACGAATCGAAATGGGGCGGCCTCCATGGTGAGGAGCTGCGGTCCAGCGTCTTCGTGAAGCTGATGGAGCCTTGGGGGCCGAGGGCAAACTTGGCGGAAAATATGGTGATTTCATAGGACTTCATAGGGAAAAGCCATGGGAAAATAGAGTTGTGGATGTTGTGGCTATGGCTATAAACGTTATAACTGGTGAGTTCGATTTGGGATTTGGGGTGGTGTCAGTACTGATAACTGATATTTTGACTGTAGGAACCACTGATTTTGGCAACAATATGGATGTTTGAAAAGGGGAAGAAAAAGGAGAACTATGGGGAAGTGGGTGATATTCGAGTTATATTGAGCCGGGAAAGGCACAGAAGTTTGATGATGTTTGATGGAGTTTTGTTGGGTTTCAATGGTTTTTTTTTGGTCTGTTCAACCATGAAGTGGCCCCAAAAAAAAACATGGCAATTTTTCGTGGGGATATTCCCGGACAGTGACATCGATTTGACATCCAAGATGCAGGAGGTAGCCCAGCAGAAAACAACTCCCGTTTTGGGTGGAGTTTCACTTTGCCTCTATTCGTTCAATATCATTGCAGTATAAAACATATTATAATGTTGACCATTATTAAGCATTAAACAACCACTAAAATCCAGTGATTCACCATTATTATCCCATTATCATATATACAGTATTTACATACATCAAATATCCTTATTAGCCATGAATAATCACCATAAATTGTCATTGTTAAAATATCATTCACCAGTACTAACCATGGAGAACAATGAATAACCATGAAAATCCATCCGAATCCATCCCATTAAATCATCAAAGCGCTGCCAGTCGCCGGCTTTGCCGAGGAGTGGAATTACAACGACATCGCCAAAGAGTGCACAGCCGCCCGGTGTCGACTTGTGGCCCTGGGGTCAACGGCGCAGTGTTTTTGGCCGTCCAAAGATCTGTCGTTCTCGGAGTTTCCAACTACAACTCGGGGATATGCTAGAGAAACCTTGAGTTTTTTGGCGACTGGTGCAGTTTTTTGATGTTTTTTGGTTTGCGTGTTTGGTCGTCTTGATAGAGATCACCGAGTCACGAAATGCAGGATTTCCATGGATTTCCCAGTGATTTTTGGCTGAAATTTGCAGCTGGACCAGCCATGAATCATCAATGTTTCTTGATCCGTCCGAAAACTTGGATGAGGTCAACGAAAACAGCAGGTTGTTCTTATGTGGTAACATCTTGAAACCCCCAAAATAGATTGAACAGTTGGAAACTGAGACATGAGTCGCTATCAAATGATCAATACCCTTTGGTAAACTAACATAGCTATTGAAAATGGCCATAGAAATAGTTGATTTACCGATTAAACATGATGATTTTTGAGTTCGCAAACTGTTAGTTTACCAGAGGATAACGTTATCAACATATATAGCCATCCTGGTCCCTGGGAGTACAAGGTGAGGGCCCCCATAAGTGGGTTTGAAAAAAAACCTCATGCAACTATAAGCTACATTGCTAACTACAGACTTAACCTCAAGCCATGATCATTTGAGTGATTTCAACATATTTCAAGCCATGATATAGCTATCATTCAGCACAAATCCCCAGCGAAAAATCTGCAAAAATGTTGGTGAAATCAGTGGGTTAAGTCGGTAGACCCAGCTGCCCGAGGAATATCTGGGTCCCAATGGCTTTGAAGCTGTGCAAGTGTCGCCCGTGACGGAGCACATTTTGGGCTACCAGTGGTGGGCAACTCGGCGAAAACGTGGCAGGCAACACTGCACCATGAGGATAAGTCCCAAAGATGTTTGTTGGTGTATAACCCCCCAAATAATTATATAAATATACTGTAGTCATTGTTGTTTTATAAAGAATCTCAATCATATTGACCAATAATTCGAATAACTACTGTTATAAGATGTTATAAAAATATCACAAACTCATAAACCATAGTGAACTTGGAGTTATTTGAACCAAGTTAGCCATCGTTTGGGAACCCAGGTTGAGATGTTGGGAGTAGGGGAATCCCAAATAGTCGCTTTAAGATTTGTGAATGATCATTCTGAATTCAGTTGGGCTCTCATGATGAAAGATGATCAATTTGGCAGTTGAGAAGCTTTGTCATTATATATCATTCTCATGGTCAGCTTACCACTAGGTAAATTATAACGACCTCACTGTCCTCCCGAACCCCGGAATCATGATTTATGTTAGGGAAATCATCCCCAAATGGCCCAACAATGCAGGTTAGTGAAATATGAAAATTTACCCTCTGGTAAACGTTTACATAACTATGGAAAATCCACCCATTTTCTAGCTGGGTAAATCAACTATTTCCATGGACATGGCTTCAATAGCAAAAAGTAACAAACTACCAGAGGGTATATCCCATTAATATCCCATTGAATCACTATACAATCCCATTAAATCACGATATTTTCTCAGTTCTCAGGGTGAAGCGGTGTGGGTAACCAAGACTCGTTGCACGATGGCCGGCCATGAGATCCGGTGAGCAACTTGCAGCCCAAGTATCATACAGACAACATGTAAATATGTACCTAATGATCCGTCTACATGATTTATACTGTGTATATATATATGCATATGTATACATATAGTGATGATAATATATGATAATATTATATATATATTAGACATACAGTGATGATAGAATATATATATACATATTATCATCACTATATGTCTATGTTTATATCGAATCATCCATCTAGCTATGCACAAACGTGTGCGTGTCCTCACTACAGTTACGGGCCCGAAATACCATTTATAAGTACTAACAAAACCACATTTATATTTTTGTTTATCCCATAGAAATAACCTGTTAGAGCTACCCTCTGGTAAACTAACATAACTATGGAAAATCACCATTTTTAATGGGACAACTCACTATAAATGGCCATTTTCAATAGCTATTTGTATGTTTACCAGAGGGTAATAGCCATGGCTATTTTTCTGTAGACATCTACATCATCCCCACGTTTTGTTCAGACATCATCCTATCGCTGCTGTAGGTGAAGTATCAGCCGGTCTCAGCCGGATTGGACAGCCGATCAGGGACGGAGACTTTGGTGAAACCCATGGGATTTCCACTGGACTTGGATGGAGGATGGTGATTTTTTTCCAAGAAAATCCAAGAAACAGTTGGGCGATACGAATCGCCGTTTATATCCATGAAACTAATATTTATAATGTTTATAGATGATTGTTGGGCGAAATTGGATGTGAACTCCAAGTTCACCTGAGGTTTATGGTAAACACACCATATTACAACGAACTAGTTCGTTGGGATTCGAAGCCAACAAACATGTCACTGCTTCGAGGATCATTCCACTTTAGTAATTAAGTGCTTAATAACCCTGGTTACTATAAGTCCGTTAAGTGGGGTTTTCCCATCTATACAGTGCCCAACGGCCCAACATACAAGTTATAAGTACATTTATAGAATGTTTGTTTATCCCATAGAAATCGCCACTTATGGCCATAATTGAATTTTCCCATGATTTTCCTATTAAATCACCATTTTCCGGTTATAACCCTACTATAAGTCCAAAAAAAAGTCCCTTAAGTGGGGTTCTCCCATTAAGAGGTGATTTCTACTCCTATTTCGTTAGGGGTCCCACTCTTCGTCCGTATCCAAGGAGGAAGAGTTGAGGGCCATGGTGGCCACCTGTCGTAAAGCAGGTGGGGTGGCTATCGTGGCTCATCGGGGTGAGGTAACGATGGGGGCCGAGCATGGCCTAGGTATATGTATATATGATTTATATATATATATACATGGATTGTTAATAATGGTTGATGATGGTTATATAATGATGATTTATCATGATTGATGATTGATAATGGATAATCATAGTTCATTGTTGATGAAACGATGACAAGTACACATAAACACGGGTATGTTATCCCATAATTTGAATGATTTTATTCCTTCTTGCGAGGACTTGGAGGGTCCAGACATATGTACGTCTATTACAGCAATCCCATCCCCCAGCAAAAAACAAAACATGCCCATAGCATGCTCCCGAAGATGTGGTTTTATCCCCTACATCCACCATGGTTTCCGCAGGGTTGTCAATATTTTCAATATGAATGGGGGATGGGATTCGATTAAATCTTGCACCATCCCGTTTAACAATAAATCCCATTAAATCACCTTTGTTTGTTGGTGAAAGCGCGGATCCAACCAACCATTCACAAGGACATGTCATGAAGATATTCATTGAGCAATGGACGATCACCTTAAATATCAACCTTGACCTTTCTTCGGAAGTCATGTGGCAAACCCAAGGCCATGAAACTACCAATTGGGAATGGTTTATGGGGTTAAGTTATACCACCTATTTATGCTAATATTGGATGGTTGATCATTGCAGCTACCGCAATAATCAGATCATGTTTGTCCAGTTTTAGCTGAAGGATTGTTATGGATAGAGTATAAGGACCTCACTGCGATTTTTTTCCCGATGGGAAATGGATTGGGGTAACTCTCCTGAAGTGCCCGGCCATGGCTCAGGCACCGATTTATTGGAGGTACCTTACATATCTAACGCCTATGATTCAAGGCTATGTAGACCCCCTATGGCAAACATATGGCTTTAGATGGTGCAGTATCTCCATTTTAGGGTATCAATGCCAAGATCTCGGTGTCATGCAGAAGTTTGATTTCTTACAATGCATGTCACATAGAGATAGCAAGGGCACAGGATGATTCAAACATGATAAACTACCTGAGCATCTGAGCCAATTTTTGTTGGATCACGGTGTGCCAGTAGGTTTTGCATCCTGTGGGGTGACTTTTTGGTGGCGGTTTGCCATGCGGTGGGGTGACTTATGGTGTTGTGGGGTACGAAAGGGCGGACACCAAGCTTCTCACAGACCTTGGCACCACTTCCAACCGCTCCTGACATCTACTCCTGCTGTCTATGTTGTACCCAAAACGTACAAGACTTGCCTTCGGCAACTCCCGGCCATCGCCTTCGCACTAGATGGACTTGCTGAAGACTCTGTTGGCATCAAGATGAAAGCTCTCCATCCTACTTGCACTGGGGTGTTGCTGGATCGATCTGGGTACCTACCAGAAGTCAAGCAGGGAAGTCTGAGAAGTGAACCCTCTCAAACTGAACTCCGTGACTTTTTATTTCCTTCATGTTCTTCTCACTACTCTGGGATCTGCTCTCTTTAGGTGGGTACCAGTTCCTACACTGATGTACTATGACATCAGTGGTGTACTGCGTTGTGCCTACTGGTGAACGACAGTAGAACTTGACTGCAAGTGTTCTTGATGAACAAACCCCAAACAAAAAAAAACTTGGTATGTTCGAACAGTTTATGGATATAGGTGAATCCGGCTGGTGTTGTGCAATAGGTTGAGAATAGTTAAGCCATATTGATCGGAATGATGCATTTCACCCTTCAGCGCTTTAAAGGAAATCTGACCCCCAAATAGAAGGCCACCAATAGCTAGTCAGTTGGTTTCTATGTTGATGTAGATGTACTTTCTGTAGCACCGGGCCATGCTTATTTCATGGACATGTGTGACACGTTTCGACTCCCCAAAAGGGTTGCTCCAAGCTGCAGCTATGGGTGATGACCAGAAGAGAGATAACTGTCAAATGTTAATTCTTCATTTACCCTCTGGTAAACTAACATTGTAACAGCTATGACATAGCTATTGAAATAGCCATATTTATAGTTGATTTATCCATTAAACATGGTGGATCTTTCCATAGTTATGTGACAGTTTACCAGGCAGGGTATCCAATTTACCCCGCAAACGTAGCCCAACCTGCAGGTGTTCAAGTGATCGTGGACATCCTCATGAACCACATGGCGTCACCCTGCAAGAAAGCACGCGGCAAGCTGGGCGGTAGCTTGGCACGTGGGGGCTGGGTTGCTGGATGATACAACGAACAGTTGGTGGTTTGGAACATTTTTGAAATTCCATATATTGGGAATAAGGTGAACAACTGACTTTCATATTTTTCAGAGAGGTATAGGTATACCACCAACCAGGTTGGGTATTTGAGATATTGTGGGATATTATGGATTTGTTATGCTTGATTTGAGAATGGGACACCGCTACACATGGTTGGTCATCATTTTCCGTCATCAAATGTCAATTTTGGGGAACAAATGGTCGGTACCCTTTTTTCAGCTATGAATCCATGAATCCAAGCTTCAAGTGGCTGATGCCTTGGAACATCCTACACTGAGATATCAAGTATTACCCTCTGGTAATTTAACAAAGCTATTGAAAATGGCGCATTTATAATTGATTTACCTATTAAAGATGGTGATTTTCTACAGCTGTTTGTATGTTTACCAGAGGGTATCAAGTATTATAGCTCAGATCCTAAGGGTCCTAACGTCATTTGAGACTCTCAGTGGAGCTTGTGGTGTCAGTGATCAAGGAGCCTTGTACCATTGGAGCCTCGAAGATATTTTGGGAGATCTTTTCCCAGATCCATTGTTTTGCGAAAACCATAAAAAATGGCCTAATACCTAACATGAACATCATCTACACAGACTACTTTGGTTGTTTTCTCACATTTTGCCCCCATTTGTTGGGTCAGAAACCTTGACCCATTTTTTCTTTCCACCTAGGTGATGAGGAGCCACTGCCCTGTGTGGGTTGGGGTGGCAGCCGATACGGCAACCGACGGCAGCAGGGAGCGCGAGGATGGGATGCTTCGCGCCCAGAGCCTGGACGGACCAAGCAACTGGCTAGTCCCATTTATAAAGGTTTATATACTGGTTGGTGGTTTGGAACATGAATTTATTTGTCCATATATTGGGAATTTCATCATCCCAACTGACGAAGTCATATTTTTCAGAGGGGTAGGTTGAAACCACCAACCAGTATATGAATTTATGGTATATCGAACTAGTCAATGGGGGGTATGAACCAAGTTATGATGATTATGATGTTGAGTTGGAGGATCACTCCAGGTAACTGGTTAGCAGATGGGGTTACAACATGTCATAACCCCATTTTTCAGGAAGAAGCCCAGGAAAAAAGGGAAACGAATCCGATCGCCAGGGAATTCTTCCCACGAAAAAGCGAGTCGTGGCGGCCCACAGGTTATCACAGGTCAGGAGCAGTGACTCACCCCCATTCGAAAAGGTCCCAAAAAAAGGTGTAAAATACCTCACTCAACCATGGTTTCTGGGGAGTTTATTTTGTGCCCTTTTGTGAATTTGGTCGAATTCGGAGTGGGCTGCCTTTTGTCTTGAAGAGTTTTTTGTTACCCTCCACTTTCCAGATTGCCAGTGGGCTCAGTGGGCCTCACCGGTGAGTTCTAAGGAACATTTTCATCACTTGCCCAATGACACGAGAACGCCGTTCTGCACCTTGCCGAAATGCCCTCTTTACGCCTAAGAGTCGGGGGGTCAGGAAGCATAACTCAGCATCTCAAAACGTACAACACGCAGATACAATTATGGCCCGAAATACCAGTTATAAGTTATAAGTATTAACAAAACCCCAGTTATAGAATGTGTTTTATCCCATAGAAAGAAGCTGTTATAGCTAATAGATGGCCCATAACTGTAGTCCAAGATAAATCTAGACACTTATAGTGGTTTCTGCCAGCTTCCGGCTGGGACAGCATTTGCCCAGGTAAAGTGGGCCCGCAGACAGGATGGCTTTGCCCTGACGATGATTGCACTCCCTGCAGCGTGGCGGTGTTGTGATGGATTCCATGGGGACTGTGACTCCAAGACGTAGTTTTTTTGGGTTTGGGTCAAATTTGTCGCCCCAAAATGGATGGTCAATACTATAGTGACTATAGTGATCTCTCACATTTTGAAATTGCAGATACGAGCAGGTTTATGTTGAGTTTGTTCAGGCATTCCCTCAAGACAGGCTCCTACCATAGATCAACTCCTGTCTGGGGCGCAACTAGGACTAGGAGTTGAAGTACAAAGATTGCCGTTGGATTGGTTGTATAGGTGTGCATCGACTGGAGTACATGACGACCCATGGGTGGTTTCAAAGAAAGTTTTCATGTTCCACACTGCATGGGATGTTGATCCAACATGACGAGCACGCGTTTGGGGATGGTTTGCACCCACCACGCTTGACTCACCCTGCTTTTGTCTTGGACCCATTTTCATTTTGGAGGCCCAGAAGGTCGAATTTCATCACAAAATAGAGTCTATGATATTCCCTCAATTTTCCATGCATGATCACCATGATCACTTCTAAACAACTTCCAATACCCAGCTTGCCATGCCATCTGGCCCTACACCGCAAAATTCATAGGTGACATGTACGAGCTGCCGGACTTCAACACCGACTCTCGGCGTCGTCACTGGAATTCTTGGAAGCCAGTGATCATCGTCCGGTGAGCCTTCAAAAGGCCATGCAACAGGAATGGATTCATTGGAGGTACCTACCATATGTAAGGCCTATATAAGGCCTATGTAAGGAAAATATCCCCCCAAAATATGGCCTTATATGAGCAAGGGCCAAAAGACGCTATGAAAGGCTTCCATTACGATCCGCCATCACTACTCAAAATATGTGATTTACTGCGTGTAGCGATAGGGGGCCTTATGTAGCGATACCTCTTTTTAGACTCTGTTTATGATTGAAGCTTCCTGTTGGGCACATGACTTTCCAATCTTTTGATGTCAGAGCGCGACACTGGAGCAGTCGCAGTGGGCTGGTCTTTCTGGGTAGTTGCAAGATGGCCTGTCGTCAAGTATATATGAGATAGTTACATTAAACAATATTGATATATTGGGGTGTGTTGATCTATAAGGTACGCAAGAAACTAATTCATAACGCATCATGAGCTTGATGATGGTGATGATGCTGATGATGATGGTGATGATGTTGATTCAGATAGTGACCGTGCTGAGATATGTTGAAAAAGCATCCTTGTGCGGTCACGGACGCTTCTCCAAAGCCACTGTCCAGGAGTAGAATTGCAACATGGAGCTTGTCAGAATTTCATGTCACTTGAAACATACACCTGAGATCACACATTTTCTGGTCCCCGTAGCAAAGCCCGAAGCGATACCCCTCGATACCCAGAGCGATACCTGAAATCCATGAAATTAGGGAGTACCCCACATGGTCACTTGAAACTATACAACCTGTGCTATAGGTGGAAAAATATGGGAAGTATGAACAAGGGTACCCTCAAGTTCTTACTGGGTTAGTTCTTAAAGGGTTCATTTGGTCAGGGTTTTGCCGATTCATTTTGGCGTGGTATTAGGTTGCAAAGGAGGCGGGGTGAAGAAAAAAAGGCGCCGGAAACAAGGCAGCACAGGCAAGACAAGCCAAGACAAGCCAACACAAGCCAAGGGCAGCCTCCGAGGTCAGATGACCTGCAGTGAGTCCGGCTGGTGTCTAGCTGAAGCTGTCGACGTCAGCCTTGGTGATCACATAAAAGTTTGAATTTCCCTGGAGATACCATCGCAAGGGGAATAAGAATCCGATTCCTCATCTGGATCCTCCTCTTCTAGCAGCAATTCTGCCTAGTTGGTGAAAAGGGTGCTGGGACTGTGTGTAGCGACAGGGGGCCTTATGAAGCGATGCCATGACCTCACCACATGAATTGAGTTTTGACCGTCGCACATATGGAATTCCCATTGATGATCCTTCAAAAACCATTGCTGTGGACATTTCAAAGGACCACTGCAGTCTCCATGTGCACTTTGATCTCCATAGCAATGCGCGGTTGCTCTGGTGAAAGCTTCTTTTGGGGCAGCCTGGTGCCATACTTGCGGCCATCAATGGTGATATGTAACCAGCCAGCTCGTTGCATCTATTTGTCGCCGGATAAGGTTGGTGCTCCACCCCAGATCTAAGTCGCAAGCCATATCTCCCATGAATACTGTAACATATAGTAGCCATAGAAATACTATAGTATAGTAACATATAGATATGTCTATCAGAGTTCATAGAAAATTAGCTATAGATATATCCAGCATAAATACCATCTGGCTATTTAACATAGCCATGGAACATCACATTTTTTAATGGGTAAACCATCTATAAATGGACCATGTATACCATGGCTATGTTAACCAGAGGGTATAAATATCCAGAAACCATAGATTTCACCGGTTTTTTTTCTGGTATTTTCTGGTGCTCCATTGGTTTCTGGATGGCTCTGGTTTTCGACGAATCGCCCCGAGTCGTCCAGGGAGTTGGCTGAGGAACTTCAAGAGGTCAGGACGATGCAGTTCAAGCACTTGGAGGCCCGGGACATGAGACTGCGACTGGTCGTTTCTGTTTATGGATATTTATACCTTCTGGTTATTTAACATAGCCATGGTATACATGGCCCATTGAAATAGATGGTTTACCTATTACAATTATTGAAGATGGTGATTTTCCATGGTTATGTTAAATAGCCAGATGGTATATATTTATATTGGATATATCTATGGTTAGTATATGTTACTACTACGTATTCATGGGACTTATGTTTTTTTTTTCCAACGCGATTTGCGATGTTGAAACCACGAGATGAAGCTTTTTTTTTGAAAATAACGGGAAACATTCAGCTGAAGCACAAGGCTTGAACATGTCTGAAACATGTTCCTCAAATGTCAAGCCAAGAAATCCACCATGAAAGCAGATCATATTCATATTCCTGGATCTTTCCAGTTTTTTTTAACCATACTTTTGGTATGTTTGCTAGGTAGTAGCAAGGGGGAATACTTGAACCAGTGATCTCCCAAGTGTAATCAACTGTAACCAGGTGATCTCCCACTTCGGGATCCATTGTCAATGTCTTCCAGCAAGGTGAGGCCTCCCCAGCCCCAAGATTTTCTCGGCAGGAGTTGTTCCACATTGGTGTCACCGGTTTGCGTGTGGATGCGGCGATTTATCATCATGTCTACGAGCTAGCGGTGCCCAGGCGAATAACCAAAGCAAGAACCGTGGAGATGCCCAATTAATTTGGCCCAAGGAACATGATGCTTTATGACTTTATGGCACAATCTTTTGAGTTGGGACATGATTTCAATCTAGAAATCATTCCCAGTCGTTCTTTCCAAGGAAAGTTAGCTATCCTGACGGCTTAATCCAAGTGCCAGCTTAATCCATTCAGATCCTAATCTGGTTGGTGGTTTGAAACATAACTTTTATTTTTCCATATATTGGGAATTTCATCATCCCAACTGACTCATATTTTTCAGAGGGGTAGGTATACCAATGTATACCACCAACCAGTGATTGGTTCGTTGAAATCCAAGCACTTCTTGGACTCTCAACGACCTCGGCACGCACAATGCCAAGCTGAGGATATGCTGAATCATTTGCCCTGGGATTTGATCTATCAGGCCGTCTCTGGGAAGGTTGGTGGCAGATCGGGATGGATTTTTTGGATGAGTTTGGATATTTCTTCGCCATCAACATCATCAACCACCTATCAGGACCTATCAGGACCTAGACAGGGCGGTTTTGGCCACCGGAAATGTCTGGAGAATTGAATATTAGAAGTGACCTCACATTGCATACTGAAACCAGCGTCCCAAAGATGAGCCATTGATTTAAAATTCGGAACATCATAGATTTATATAGATTCCAAAAATGCTTCTATAGAGTTGTTTTAGGTAGGTCATCATTTTATTTTTTGATGATCATTTTCTGGTCGGTGGTTTGGACCATTTTTTTATTTTTCCATATATTGCGAATAATCATCCCAACTGACTTTCGGAGGGGTTGAAACCACCAACCAGTTTTTTGTTGATGATCATTTTCTGTGGTACTGTACATTTTTTGTTGGTTGCTGGTTTGGAACATTTTTTATTTTCCATAATATATGGGATAATCCTTCCCATTGACTAATATTTTTCAAGATGGTTAAAAGGTTAAAAACACCAACCAGGAATATACTGAATATACCCTCTGGTAATTTGTTACATAGCTATTGAAAATTACCTATTCAAAATTGTGATTTTCCATAGTTAAGGTTAGTTTACCTTAAAGGGTTATTTTTGGATGATTATTTTCAGTGGTGCCTTCTGGTAAACTAACATAGCTATGGAAAATCACCATTTTCAATGGGCAAATCCACTATAAATGGGCAATTTTCAATAGCTATGTTAGTTTACCAGAGGGTAAGTGTCCTAAATTAGTGATTTTCCCATTAAAGATGACCATTTTCAATAGCTATGTTAAATTACCAGAGGGTACAGTTGTTTGTATCATTTTCTATGGGTTTTTGGTTTGAAGATGGCCTGCTTGGCTCTCAGGAATGGTGGGGCGAATATCCGCCACAGGAACGCACGGACTATGTGGCTTCGACGGAAAACGCCGTGGCGGGTTAGGTCATGGCTTAGCCTGGAACATCCACCATTGATACGTTTTTTAAAATATGGTTTTCATGTTTTTTTCCACATGAAATCCTTTCTTTTTAATATTATATATATAATATATATATATATTTATTTATTTTATTTATATATTTCTGGGGTGTTTCCTATTGCCATGTTGGAATACCGGATGGTCAAACAAGCCAGCAAATCGCCAGCATGTAAGATTGTGACATTGCAACCCAGCTCCATGTTTGATGGAGATTTCCCAGCCTGAGGTGGGTCTGTATCGCCCCTTGGACCTGCCAAGACCGCTACCTTTGGGATCGCCGGGTCAACGAATGAGGAGCGTGAGAAACTCATAGAATTTAAAGATATGAATGACAGATAAACATACGTAGGAAATTTAGATATTTGATGATATTTGCAATGCATATGCAATAAATGATTAAACATATATTATATTGTATCATTTTTTGACGAGGGTTTGTTTTGCAACATAGCCACAGCGAATTTTAGGAGCTGTCTTGGAAGTGGTGGTGTCTCGGAACGTTCCCAGTCGGATTTCCGCGAAACGAAATTCCAGAGCCCTTAGGGCCGGACATTTGGCATCTTCAGAGTCCCAAATTGTCAGTGAATTGCCAAGTTTGAAGCAAAAAGGGGTCCCAAAAAATCCGTCAATGCCAGCTTTGAAGAAACATAGATATTTTCAAGACATCAAACGTAGATATCAAATGATATCAAGATTTACCCTCCCAGTCAGTGCTCCGAGGCGATGTGGCCTATCGTTGGCACTTGGTCAATCGCCTCTCCAACAAAAATGCCACGGAGCTCCCCGAGCGACTTGACGGACTTGGACAGTGCTTTGCTGTCGAGATTTCTCAGTTTCTTGGGATGATGTCAATCATATTGAATAGTTCATAGACTGATAACTTATGGAAAATTATAGGTGTATTATTGATCACATGTTTAAAAAAAACAGATGTGGTAAACTCATTACTCACCCATCCCCTTGGGATGTAAAATGACCATGTTTGGTGACTGGGATGGTTCCAACTTAGAGACAGGATCTATGGAGAAACTAAGTGGGCTAGGTCAGTCGACATGTAACCCACGCAAAAAATCGGGATGAGCTCACCGAAGTGCCACCCTCAGATTTGAGCTATTTGGAGTCCATATCAGTTTGGGACTGCCACCATTTTGACCCACACGGTTTTTTCGAGGCCATGAATTGGACTTGTTTTTTAGATGCTAAAAAAACCCTCAGAAAAAGGTGATCGCTGGAACATGGTGGTAAGTGCCTTAGCAGTTGACGTATAGAACCCGGAACAGGCTGGAATTCTGGAAAGCCTATATCTAAAATTATCTAAACTGGGATATTTTGGGTGGGTGTTTTTCTGCATATTGCACCAAGCAATACCCACCATCCAGCAGCATATGGGAACGCCCCATGCCTTGGTCCAAGCGGTCCCATGTGCTTTGGTGCTTTCCAGCCACATGGTTCACGTGGAGACGCGACGTGGCGCAACTGCTGGAGCTGTTGAGGTCTTGTTGCGACAGGCGAGGGAAGCACAGAAACTTCAACGCTTTTGTGCTTTTGAAGTATGGTTTTTCTATGCTTTTTCTGTGGTTAACTGTGGGCTTTAAAAGGTTTATATTGGGCCAACAGGTTTAACGTATATATTTTTTATATGATCATACGTAGTTTTTGTTGTCTTCTCTGAGGCTTTTGATGTATGTTTTCTCATGGCAGTAGAATATGGATATATTTTTATTTGATTATATTTGATCATCTATTTGGCTAAATATGGCTTAACAACATATTTAGCCAAGGAACATGTGGCAATCATATGGCAAACACACATTTTGTGGGGATGATATGATTGGTTTTAATAATCCGTCACGCTGGGATGTCAATTACCCTCCGGTAATGACTAACAGTTTGCTATTGAAATGGCCATTGAAATACTGGATTTGCCCATTAATAGCATGGTGATTTTCCATAGTTTTGTGACAGTTTACCAGAGGGTACCACAGAAAATCATCATCCAAAAATAACCCTTTAAGGTAAACTAACCTATATAACTATGGAAAATCACAATTTTCTATCCTGGTTTCCATGGTTTTTCTATAAACATGCCCGTGTGATACAGCGACATAGAATTGGCATTCGCCGGCATGTTTCGGCGAATGTGTATAGAATAGATCCCAGCCCTTTACTGGAGCAAGTTTGGGCTCCGGCAAATCATATGGTTGGCATGACGCATATTTTTGTGATGTGCCGGATTAACGTGGGCAAAACAATAATATTTCACCATCCCCCAATTTCACCATAGGTTCACCATAGGTTCACTATAGATTCACCATAGGTTGTATAAGACATTCCCAAATGGTTGGTTTAATATTGTTTTACTCCCATTAGTTCGGATTGCGCCCACCCAGGAAAGCCAACCCTAAGCAAGCGGCAGAAATCTTTGAAGCCCTTCTTCGACCACCCGAGGGTGGTCGGATTTCTGAGCGCGACTACAGTTTCGGGATCTCATACTGTGCGACTCGTTGATGGGGCCAGAGATCTTCTGGTTGGTGGTTTGGAACATGGCTTTTATTTTTCCATATATTGGGAATTTCATCATCCCAACTGACGAAGACCATCATTTTTCAGAGGGGTAGGGCTCAACCACCAACCAGATTATTCTTAACCATCATTAACAATATATAATAACCATTAATATTAACCATTATTAACAGTATATTAACCAGTTGGTATACCACCAACCTTGTCTACAGTTTTTGTTTGTTTTTGTTGGCCATCCCTGAGAATAGAGGTCATGATATGATGATCCCACCTGACTTTCACGTAGCTTTAACGGCAGGTTTTTTTTAACACCACAATGTGATGCCCAATAACTTTGCTAAGAGATATATCACCATAAATCCACCATCCTATACCTTTCACCCACAGCCAAATGGAAAATTACATGTGTGTCCTTCATTTATAACTGATTGTCCGATTCAAACCTCTCCATTTTGGGCGGCTGTTTTCCAGCCATTTCCAGTTGTTCTTTCGGGGGACACCTTTGAGGTACCCCAGCCGCCAGGCGAAAGCATCCCTGTGGTCCTATGCCTGCAATCTTTTTGAGGAGATGCCACAGTTGACTGTTCAGCCGCAGATCTTTTCTTACAACGCTGTCATCGGTGCCTGCCAGCGGGGTGAAGAGTGGCAACCAGGCAGCTGACAGCGACGGTTTTTGCGAAGTGGGGAGATTGAGCATCAAACATATGGAAAATCTTGGGATATTTGGTGATTTGCTGACTTGGTGATGGTTTATTATGATGTTTGATTTTCCCTATGGAACATCCACTATGACTAGGAAATGTTGAAAATCTTTGGCATATCCCAGGCAACAGGGCTTGGCATTCTTTGAAGAAATGCCAACGGCAAGGGTGGACAAGGACGTGGTTACATATAACAGTGCTTTAAGTTGCTTTGAAAAGGGTAGCTTGGCTGATGGCACTTTTTTTTTTCCGGGCATGAAATTGGGCACTGGTAGTACTCCCTTGTTTCATTAATTCTCTTTCATCAAAGTGCTTTTTCCCATCGCTAAGCCATGATGGACTGTCGAAGGGTAATCGCAATTGCTCTTAAGTTGACTTGGGAATCATTTCCAAGTCTACCTTTGAGTCCACAGGGACAACAGCTTTCCAGGGTTGGATTTTGCGCAAACATCTTGAATTTGCTGAAGATGATTTGTTCTTTTCCCAATGGGAAATTCACTACGTGGGAAATCCACTACTTCGGAAATCCAGCGGGAATATTTTCGAAAATCTTTGGGGTTCCTTACGCAAATCCCAGAAATTCAAGGTTGTCAATGGGAACAAGCGATGATTTTCTTCGAAGCAATGCCTTCAGCTATGATTGAACCTGATGTGATCAGCTACAGTGCTGCCATCAGTGCTTGTGAAAAGGCTGGGCAATGGGAGACCTGGGATGAAAAAGAGCCAATGAGTTTTCTCCTTTGTCACAGTTATGGCCATGGTTATAGTTATAACCACTTATAAAATGTTATTTGTTTGGATTATACATTCTATAAATGGGGTTAATCTGTACTTATAACTGGATATAACTGGTATATAAAAGGCCATAACTGCAGTCAATAAGATATGGCTATTGACATCTATTGACTGTGTAGACACAGCCAACCGCCCCCAGGGTGACCACTGGAAAATCTCCATGACAGTACCCGTTGGACCCATCATAGCTCCAACGGTTTCTTTCTATTACGGTAACTGTATAAACCAACAGAAACCTATCATAAATCAACTATAAATACCTGGTTGGTGCTTTGGAACCATGGAATTTTATGACTTTCCAGAAACAGTTGGGAATGTCATGATCCCAACTGACGAATTCCATCATTTTTCAGAGGGGTAGGTATACCACCAACCAGATAAATACTAGTTTCTTTTAAGATCTCCATTTTTCTTGCTGCAATTCCCATGAATTCCTGGCTTCAACCACCAAACATCGAGCCCCTGCTGGGCTACATCGAAACTCAGGAGAAGGCCCTTGGACTCCTAGGAGCCATGCCCGAGGCGAGCCTGCAGGGCAACAGCATCACCTTCAACGCGGCGCTGAGCGCCCTGGAGAAAGGCGCAGAATGGCAGAGGGCGCTGGCCTTGCTGACGTCCATGGGGATGATGTGGATGGAAAGGACAGTTTGCTGCTGATTTTCTGGATTTCATGATTTTAATGGGGCTTAACCAATATGGTCATATGGTGTTGTTTGGCGATGTTTGGTGGTACTTGTGAGAATCCAGCAGAAATATAGTTGAATATGGTTAATATTGGTAATTGTGTTTTGGAATCTGTCTGAAGATGGCGGGCTTAACCATCAAGTTTCGTGGTACCCTATTTTCAGAATTTCTGGTTGATCCTTGTTGACGTTGTTTGAGTTCAAACTACCAGGAATGTTGTAACGTACAGTGCTGCCATCAGTGCTTGTGAAAAGGCTGGGCAATGGCAGGTGGCATGGAATTTCTTGGAGTTGATGACCGCATCCGATGTGCAACCCAATGTCATCAGCTACAACGCAGCCATCAGTGCATGCACGCAGGGCAGTCAGTGGGAGCGGGCGCTAAATCTGTTCGAGCCAATGAGTTTAAACAGGGTTTGGCCAAACAATGTGAGCTACAATGCTGCGATGAGTGCTTGTGAGAAGGGCGGTCAATGGCAACATGCACTGGCGTTGATTGCCGACATGACGAATGTGAAGTTGTCGCCGGAGGTCTACGGATTTAGCACAGCCATCAGTGCCTGTGAGAAGATGTGTCAATGGCAACAGGCACTGAAGCTGATGGAAGCTGCCTACAGTGCCAGGGAGTGCAATGTGGTGACCTACAGTGCAGCTGGATGGCAACTTGTTAATGCTTCCAGAGCCAATCCAAATAAATCCAAGATCACTGTTTGGCTCTTTTCATATAGGAACCAACATATATTGATCAACAAACTGTTAAATCCAAAAGACAAACATAGACAGGAAACCCTACAGTAACTAAAGACCTACTGAAACTTTGGGCAAACGTCCGCCCCGTATTTTTGTTTGTTTTTGCATGCGCACCTTTCTTAACTATAGATATATCGTTGGATTTGTTGAACATGTGTTTTCCATTCGGAGGAATCCACCATTCGGAATTTCCTCAAGCAAATCCAAGGAGCCTTATCTACCATAGACCATAGTTTTTTCAATTCATTTCTTAACCAACTATCTTTGGATAAAGGTTTGCCATAATGTGGGACAAACAATGTCATAAACCACCCATTCCCAAATGGTTTATATAGATGTTTATACCACCTATAAAAAAATGGTGAGTCATTGGGGATGGTAAATTTGGTAAACATGGCATTGGTTTACCAACATTTTCATAATCATTGGATCATGAAAATAACCATAGTTGTTCCAAGTGATTTCAACCAACTATCTTTGGACATTACCATAATTAGAGATAGTTGGTAAATGTTGGTAATTGATATATAACTATCTTACCATAACTATCTTTGAACTAATCCAATTATGGTAATTATCCAAATTATGGTAAATATAAATAACCATCGTTTTTTCCAAGTGATTTCAACCAACTATCTTTGGATATACCGTGATATACCATTAAAAAATAGTTTTTTCTTAGTTCAAAGATTTGGAGATGTGAGGCCTCCATCAGCGCCTGCACGGGTGCGCAGTGGCAGAAGGCGTTGCATCTCTTCGAGGAAATGCCGCAGGTGTCGCTGCGGCGCAACGTGGTCAGCTACAACGCCAGCATCAGTGCGTTGGAAACGCAGCGCCCTGGCATTGAGACCAAGGGGCCCCCAAATGATAGCTAAGCAATGCTAAGTTGGATTATAAACCTCATGGTTACCCATTTATGGTGATTTTCTATAGCTATGTTAGTTTACCAGAGGGTAATGACTGGTTGGTGGTTTGGAATATTTTTATTTTTCCATATATTGGGAATTTCATCCTCCCAACTGACGAACTCATATTTTTCTGAGGGGTAGGTATACCACCAGCCAGTCATGGTTACAGATACAAGATGTTATCCGTATCGTCAACCAGAGCGAAATTGGAGGGTTTTTTCTTGCACCAACTTCGCTTTTTTTCATTAGGGGATTTTGGGGCCCCCAGCCTGTACGGCCTGTACCGGATAGATCCGCAACCGGCTGTCTCCAGATACCAGGTGGGACCGCAGCCTACAGCTGTTTTGGTCCCTGTTGGTCAGAAGCAGCGACATCATGAGCTTCACCGCTGCCATCTCCGCCTGTGAGGGAGGTCAATGGCAGGAAGCGCTGGGCTTATTAAAAGAGATGGAAGAGATGAAGATGACCCCGGAGCTGATGAGTTTCTTGAGCTGATGCCTAAGCCCTTAGCATCCCTTATCTAAGTTGCTAATATGGAGCATTTCCAAGCCAAGCTCCATGGTGCTGATGTACATGGATCAATTCTATGTTTTGTGATGGTTTATGGTATGTATTGTGTTCATGGTGGTATAAACCACCTTATGTACAACTGGGCGGGCGCCACTTTGTAAGGTTAGATTACAGTAAACGGGCGAGTCGGAGAGTTCACGTGTCCGAGAGTAGCTATGAATTCGATGCAACGGCGTTGTCATTTTATGCTTCTCTTTTCTATATAAAGATGTAAAGATGGTTCGTTTGAAGTAAATGTTTGTTTGCTTGAAGTAGCAAGTGGATCAGTGTTTCTCACTTAAATCCTCTATTTGACTTACAGTAAACCGGCCATTGTTATTGCATGAAGCGGGATGAAGTGCCCATAGAAGTGGGATGAAGTGGGTACCTGTCACCTCAGGCAGTGGATTCTCTGCCTTTCGAGTACCATCCATAAAGATCCCATGGTGCAACAAGAATCCCAGGTAGGTAACAACGGTAACAACCACCAGTAACTAGTAACTAGTAATCGATATAATAACTATATAGAGACAGGATTAGTCGGGTATCTTCCCAGTTTTTAACCTGGGTTTTAAGTTTGGTTTTGAATTTGTTCAAAGCCTCCCAGGTTTTAGTGCCGCCATCAGTGCATGTGAGAAGGGCAGCCAATGGCAACAAGCCTTGGCAGTGCTTCAAGCCATGGAAAGGACGCAGCTTTCGCCCAACGAAGTGACCTTCGGTGCAGCCATCGCTGCGTGTGAGCGAGCGGTGAAAAAGGGGTTTCCACGACATCGTGGAATCATCTCATAGTGTTGGTGAAATGATCTTATATGATGTTTTATGATGTTATATGATGTTATATGATATTTCATGATGTTATATGATATTATATGATTCAAAGATGGAAAATGAACGATGATCTTTTTGAAGCTGGCATATTGTTACACTCTTGCAAAGGCTTTTTGGACAGGATAGAGGGCCTTGGACACCATTGAGTTTGGGATGGTTTCCTCCAGCATACCATCAACGAATCATCACTTAAGCGTTTTTAGCTGAACAACTCTAGACGCTAGAAAAATCATGGACGTTAGAATGTTAGCACCCATTATCATTGCTGTGTTATACTCTTGATAAAACCATTCAGAAGACTCTAAACTGTTAGCAGATTAGCAGAATGATGTGACAGAATAGTTGTTGAAGGTACGTTTTTTGCATATTTTCTGGCAGAATCCAGTGATCAATCAACATGTCAATCATAGATTCACCAGTGCCTTGAGTAAAAAAGGAGTGAGCTCAATCAAGTGAGTCAAAAAACAAAAAAAACCTTGAGTTTCATTGAAACCTCAGGCTGAACATCTGTAATTAACTACCATTTTTTCATGCGAAACATGATGGAAAAATGTGAGATTTTCGCAGAAAAAGATGGATCCACAGCCGGCGAAAACATCCAGGTTGCTGGATCTCAGTGGGGGTGTCTTTGGCATCAGCGCAGATATGGCGGTCTACCCCTTCGCATACCATGCTGCCTGGCCGCCCTGGCCTTGTCCTCCCTTTGTGTGAGCCCCAAAGGATAGGTAAGTTGGTGAACGCCTAAGTTGGTGGAGTCTATGTGTTTTTTGAGGGAGGTTAGATATTTTCTGGTTCGTGGTTTGGAACATGTTTTATTTTCCATAATGTATGGGTAATCCTTCCCATTGACTGATATTTTTCAGAGGGCTCGAAACCACCAACCAGGTAAATATAGTTAGATTATGTTAGATGTTTCAAACACCCAGTCAGTCAGGACCCCCGCAACATGCCCTGCATGAAACTCGAAGTCAGCACTCGGCAAATTTGGATGTGTTTGTAACGAACTGGCGAAGTATTTTTTCTGGGGTTCCACTAGACTTGGCGAGGAAGTCTCCGATATGAGTGGGTTATCCCAGGTATAAATTTCAATATACCCTCTGGTTATTTAACGTAGCCATGGGAAATGACCCATTTATAGATGGTTTACCTGGGTTTACCTATTAAAAATGGTGATTTTCCATGGCTATGTTACATAACCAGATGGTATTTATGACTATATGGTTGTTTACCAGTTACGATTTGTTGGATGAGCCTCAAAGTAACAGCTATAGCCATGGAGCACAGGCCTTAGAAGGTTCCTTTGTGCAGGGAAACAAAGCCATATCCCAAGCTGGGTTTGTAACTCTTAAATCTAGCGTGGAACTGAAGAAAAGCAATTGATGCTTTTAAAGGATGTAATGAAAGCACCAACCAATATAACCAATCTGCGTATCAATGGATATCAATGGCCATTTCAGGTACCGATTTATAGCTAACTACCATATATAAGTGGATGTAAGGGAATATCATGGAATATCCACACAAAACATGGCTGTTTACATAATTTATCATATATATATATAATTATATATATATATATATATTACTACGATGCTTAACGTAGCTCCAAAAATTGATGATTTGTTTCCTCCTCTCAAATGTTTGGTAACCTCGGATGGAGTTCTGTCAAAGAACTTAGCGACTGATTTTTTCGATGAACGCCATGTTTAATGGACATAACCATGGGACATATGGTGCTTTAACGGTGGTTGAATGGACATGTTTATGGAACACCTATATGTTTCAATAGGAATAAATAGGAATAAATCAGGATCCTTATATATATATATATATATCTATTTGTAGGTACTAACAGTACCTTATGGATATATATATATATATATATTTATCTATATATGTATGGTATACGTACCTCCCATAGATCGGTCCCGTGGCTTAGCGTCGGAGAGGATGGTCGTAGTCGTGACGCAGATCCAGAGATTGCCACCTACAAGACACGTGGCGTGCGGTGCGGGCTGCGGTGCGGGCTGCGGTGCCAACTACCCTCTGGTAAACTAACATAGCTATTGAAAATGGCCATTGAAATAGTGGATTTTCCCATTAAAAATGGTGATTTTCCATGGGGACGTTAGTTTTACCAGAGGGTAACTTGATGGTCTTCGTTGATACCTTAAGCTGGTTGGTGGTTTCAAACAAATTTTTTATGGCATAAAAAATGTCAACAATGTTACTCTTTATGAACCAACACTGGTTGGTGGTTTGGAACATAAATTTTACTTTTTCCATATATTGGGAAGAATAATCCCAACTGACTCATATTTTGCAGAGGGGTAGGTATACCACCAACCAGTCTTAGTTGATGCCGGAAGAGTCAACTTAAGCAATACATTTTGGATGCATGTGGCACGTTGTCGAAATCAAGGTCCTCAAGATGAAACATCATGGAACGTGATGGAACATCCTAAGCTGGCGATTTTCTGCGCTTTCAGCACTTGCAAAGAATGCACCAATTCATCATGATTCGCCAAATTACCGGGAATGAATTGGTGAATCATAATTGAATTGTATGATTAATTACCCAATAACTGTATGATTTACCCAGTAATCATAATTAGATTACCGGGTAAACTGTGCTTTAACAAGTTTACAGGTTCCATTTTTTCGCTCAAAGGACAACTACAGAGACTTTAAAGAGCACCTCCCAGCGGAACGACAAAAACCCCGCGCCAAAGGAACGGCAAGGCCTTTCACCAGCAGCAGAAGTTCTTCTTGGCGTGGCCTGTAGGTGCCATGATGCTGGTTGATTTTCCCAATAAATCATCTGCGGGAATTTGTACGGAATATGTTGATTTTCGTACCGGGGTCCAAAACGTCGCAAATCCTGTCGTTTTGGTGCTTTTTCTCTGTGGAAAAAACCAGGTGGTTAAAACCGTGTGGAAGTTCCTGGGTGGGATCTCCCAAAATGACCTACCCGGTTTCAGCAATCATGGCTGGAAAATGTTCCCATGTTTTTGCGGATGATTTTCCCATCATTTGTGATGATGCCCATGTAGTGAAGGGGATTTCTTCGCCATGTTAGATGAGTCATTTTGTGTTGTTGGTAGTGAAAGGATAATTTTGTTGATTCAATTCCCATGCCTGTTGCACCACTTACACTCTGATTCCCATGCCTGCAGCAATTTTTGAGATCACTCTAGCAACTGGATCTTCACAAAGTGGTGCCCCCAGCTTATGTGTATGGTTTTCTTTTCTAACAATCTCAACTATAGAGATTCAGAGATAGCAACCATTTCAGCCCAGGCCCAGCACTGAAGCTACTTCGAAACAAAACAACTTAGCGTAACTTAGCCAAGTAGTAAGCTTCTTAATATTGCTTGGTTGAATCACCAATTCGGTCAAGCACCCACATCCCCTCGTACCAGTAGTTCCGTTGGTATGTTCATCCTTCGCCTACTATGGGGTATCTCCATAGTTTGCACAAGGTGAGGCCCACCAGTTAGAAGATGTTATAAGTTAGTAACCCATCTAACTATAGTTATAACATGTTATAACTACGACGCAGCCCACTTATGATAGCTTATAAAAGCAAGCGGCCCACATTTTGGGGCCCACGCAAGGCCGGTTTTTGTTCAGTTCACTGCCAGGCAATTCCGTTCTCATCTGGGGCGGTTACGGCTGGCGCGACTTGAACCACGGCCCTCCCGGCTGCGACAAGTCCGATGGCGATCACTGCACCCCCAAAGCTGTGCCTTGGGCCCAAGGCAATGCCGAAATAGCAGATCCGTTATGAACATCAATGATGAATAGGTGTTGCAATAGGAATATCCGATTGGGATGATTGGGTATGATGCCAGAAAGTTGATTATTTGTTTTTTTCCGATTGACTTAACTCATCTTATAAGTACTTGTATAGGGTTTACGGTAGATACATCTATCACCACCTTGTAGTGGTAACAGGAATCAGCCCCACAAATTGGGCAGTTAGCGGGATTCCCATCGATTTCAGTCGCACCGACCTTCTCCATGATGTTTTTTTAGTGGCTATCCCGTTGATAGCTGAGGAATCGGTATAAATGTGAAACAAAACTTACTAATTAAATCTGGTTGGTGGTTTGGAACAGTTTATATTGTTCCATATATTGGGAATTTCATCATCCCAACTGACTTTCATGTTTTTCAGAGGAGTAGGTCAAGCACCAATTAGAAATGGAATGATCCTCCTTTTCCAATGGTAACCCATGGTGTTTACCATCCTTTTTAATCCTTTTTAGTGATCGAAGACGATGGTTTCTGCAAAATCCCAGAAACCACTCGATCATATACCAATATCTACCATAAATCTTATCTTATTTATACATGTAGATATATCCACCATAAATCAGTTCATTAAATGATAAAAATCACCATATCAGCCTATCCCAGAAATCTCCCAGCATTTCCCACAGAACATAGTTTTTTCAGATGTTGTAAGTATCATAAACCAAAGGGAAATGGAGTTATAAACGCCCCAATCAAACGCTATGCATCCCTTAATCATCCCATTAAATCCCATTTTTCGACTGACAAAAATCACAATTTTTGTGTGGTTTTCCCATGGTTTTCATGGTGAAATCGCCATTTTCCTCTGGTTTTCCCATGGTTTTCATGGTGAAATTGCCATTTTCCTGTGGTTTTCCTATGGTTTTCACCTGGTACCACGGGCCAGGTGTATGGTCCGGACGGCCAGCCGCAGTGCTCGGAGGCGCCCACGGCGTCGCCCATGCCGCGCGACGAAGCCCGGCAGCGGCGATGGATCTGCGAACATCGCTGGCAGGGCGTGGCAGGTGCCGAATGTTGTGATGTTCATGACTGTTCATGCCCATAGGATCCAACCAGAAAATGATCAAAAAAAAAAATGATGACCTACTGACCTACCTAAAACAATTCTGAGTAGAATCATAAAATTGGAATCTATATCCCATGACGGTTCCATCAATGTATGCTATATATGGATATATATGGTGACATGGATCCCATCAACAAAAACCCCCGTCATGTTCGCATTTTTCTATGGCAGCACCGTTACCGGATCCGTCATGGGATAGTTATGGGATGGGATTTGAGTGGTATTTTTCTAGTCATGGATTGTTCGAGGAATGCTCAAGAGATGTTCATTTAACGAATTAATGTCATTTAGGGGAGCTCTTTGCAATACCAAGCAATAAAACACAATATCAATAATAGCACATATATGCACATATATAATATAATAACTACATTTTAGTATCAATTAGTGATTCTATGGGAAATCCACTGGAAAGCTGATTAGCTAATGGGATTTGAATGGGATTTAAACCAGCACTGTTGCATGTTTATATGGTTTAAAAGTTTTAACTATCAACATGTGAGCTATCAAAGATTACTTCGTGGAGTTTCAGCAGGAAAACCATGGGAAAACCACATACAGTATGAATTGTGTTTGAATGGGGGGGCAAAAAATAGGGTATAACCAGCAACAGCTGATAGTAATCGATATATAGATATATATATATATATATATGATGTTTACCCTCCGCACCATAGCTCGACGGCACAACCAGCAACTGAGGGTTAGGACCATGTGGCCACGTAAGCTGGGGTACTGGACAGCTACGTACCTTCCTTCCGCAGGCCTGGTGCACTTTCGAAAGGTTTGTCGAGGACATCCAGTGACAGAGACCTGGCACCTTGGATGAGAACTTTTCTGGGTGAAACCATGGTGGAAACCATCCCTAAATAGGTAAGTTATGTAAGTTGTATTGGCAAAGGCCACATTATATATGTAATATATATATATATAATGTTTCTGTTTATATGTTTATGTTTATATGTTTATTTTTTGCTTGGTTACTTGGGTTACTTGGTAAGCTTTGGGCGTATGTTTTATGCTTTAGCACACGCATACTTACCAGCTAAGAAAAAGTAGACTATGGGCAGTGGAGAGGGAGAGAATTGACCATGCCAATATTCAAATTGAATGTCTAAAACTATCAAATAATATCTAAAACAAAACCCCATTCATTAAACCCCAGTTCCATCGACATAATCCCTATCGACATAATCCCTATCCCTATCCAGATGGACTTTCCAAACCTGTTCAGCATTAACACCATTCAAAACCATGTGAAAATCCCACAAACCAGAAACGAAACCATCATAAAACCACTATAAAACCCTCTGACTTAATAGATTTCGAGTTTTGTCACACTTTCTGAACGTGTCTTCACTGAGGACAGGACGTGTCGCCGCCAACGACACCACGGGCGGTGACGGGGTCGGCTTGGGGCGCCTGGCCTTCCGCCTGGGCGAGCAATGCTTCGTGGCGTTGGTGCGGGGCAAGCGGAGACGCGGCAGCAAAGGGTGTGAAAAATCACCAGTTTCTATAGGATTTTAATGGGATTTGAATGGGATTCCCATGGGATTCTCATGGGATTCTCATGGGATTTATAGAATTAACCATGAACTTTGATGTGATGTCCATGTTTGGGAATTTCTGGAATTTGGATACGAGATTTGATTTGGATTTTGGCGGGATTTTACGATCAATTATAGTGTGTTCTTTTAATCGTATGGGAACATGCATTATTTTTAATTAATGTGATTTTAATGGACACTTAATGGGATTCAGCAAGATTTAACCATCAACTATAGTGAGTTAAGTGGTTTTGGAATTTGGAATTTTGATAGGTTTTGCCATGATTTCAACCATCAATTCTAGTAATTATAGTGGTTTCGTTTTTTGGATTTTAACATGTTGGCACATGTTTTAAGTAGCAAAGTAATTTACAGTATCTCACGAAATATCAACTGATGGGTTCAGGACGGTGCTTTCCTCGATGCCTCAAGAAATCCTATAGTTGAGCTACTGACTGGGGCGCTGCTCATCTCTCTTGGCTTACCCAGCCTGTTCCCAAAAATTGTTGTTGCTTGAATGATCTTGAATGAAATAGCTATATCAGGCTACATCATTTCCCTGAAAGTCAAATGGCACGTTCCACCCACCATAGTAGTGATGATCCACAATTAACCCAGGGTAAACCATGAGTCTTTGAGACTTCCTGTTTTTTTTTGGGGGCCCTCAGCTGTTGCAAACATGTAGAAGTGCAGTGCAACTTGCAGAGCTTGAAACTTTAAGCAGCTGACGTGCAACCACAAGCAAATGGCAGGTTGATGGTGTATGCAGGTGTATGCTTGTCATTTATCAGGGAGCACATCAAGTATGCCCATGCAATAAATCTTCTCGTATGGCACATAGGGTTAGCTGCTAGCCATTAATTTTGAATTATAATGTGTTCTTTTAAATTATTGGTTCCCCATTTTCTGCAGTTCCACTATACGGTTGAGGGCTGGAAATGAGCAAGGTAATGGCGCATGGTTCTTAAATTACAGTGTTTATATTTTTCATGCACCCCCTCGTTTTTTGGTCAAGTTACACCGTCTGAGGGCAAACTAATTTTCCAAAGTGAAGAAATATCCACCTACCCTCAGCTCATTTCCCCCACCTTTCCACATCAGGAAGGGTGAAACCGACGACCCAAAGGTGGTCGGAGTGGGTGGCACCTGGAATTTGAAGGGCTTGCAGATCGGTCTACCGTCAGGTTGCTACTGCGACACTGGGCCGAAGGGCCTTTTCGGGCCGCCTTCGGGAGACTGGTGGGTTGACTTGGTGGTGCCCCAGTGAGCAAAATCGCCAAGTTGGATTATAACTACAGCTAACATATATATATATATATAACGATGGAGGTCAAGGAGTTAGCTATGGTATGGTATGGTATGGTATGGTATTGTAAGTTATGGTATGTATAAACCAAGTTGTGACTGGGGGACACCACGAAGGGTGGGGGTCCAAGAAGACAATGGGCATTTGGATGTTTCCTTGTTTGAAATTAAGCATTTACTTTGCCCAAAGTAGCAGGGGATAATACGCGTTGATCCTTCATTCCTTTTTTGGTGCAGTTTTCTCCCGTCAAACGTCAAAATTTTGCCGCTTGAATCCACCAGACTGTTGATTTTTCGAGGCGAATCTCACCTGTTCCATGGGTTTGTTTGAAAGTGGGGTGCCGCAACCTTTGACGGTTTATGCAGAAAAAATACCCCCATGCAATGTGTGATTCATTCTGGTATCATTCTGGTGTACCCTGATTTTTAGACAAACCAATTATGATATAGTGTTGACATGTTTGTCCTAATACATGCCCGTTATATATCCTCATTCAATGCTTTGTTTTATCCTCTTCGCAGATGAATTTCCCATTGCAATGTCTTTCCGAACCACAATCATCAAATTGTTCCCACATGTTTTCATCAAAAGTTGGTGTGTTCACTTGGATATGCCCAAAATCCATCAAAATCCATCAAAATCCATGAAAATCCATGAAAATCCATGAAAATCCCCTATGTTAGATGGCAAAATCCCATAAATTCCCCAGGTTCTCACAGATTTCCAGCCTCAGCCTGTCCCCCCAAGGACCTGTCGTCCCTTCGGACGCAGAAAAACTGGGACGGCTCCAGTTGCCCACGGACCGTGCACGTCGACGACGACGGGAGCATTACGAAAGGCGCGGCCCCCGTTGGAAACTGGAAAATCCACATTTTTGAGGGGTAAATTGAGGTAAAATCATCATGAAAGATATGAAATGCTTGCTATAAGTTCTCATAATAAAAAAAAAACATAGATTTTGAATGAATGTCCATGAATTTCCCATGTTTGATGGATTTTTATGGATGTTTCACATGACTTTCCCAATGGGTTTTCCGATGAATTTTCCTGAGTTCGTCGTTTCCAGCAAGCGACGCAAGGCCATGTGGCACAGGGGGAAATCCTGGCGATACACAGTGGGGCCAGGCAATTGACTCTCGCCTAAAATCGATAAAGGGGTGGGGTTGAGATCTTGGGGTCCTTGGGATTTTTGAGAACTCAATGGAGGGTTTGATGGTGATTTTTTTAAGATTCGAATCTGCTGTATTTTGGAGGTTTTGATGGGAGAATGATAGGAAAGAATGGGAAATTCTTGGAATATCCCTCTAGAAATGGTTGTTTTTTATTGGAAGTGAATCCAAAAGGATGTTGGATTCTCGCCATGTAGGATTGACTTGTGTATTTGCTGGTGATTGGTGATGTTCTGCGGAAAATCCACCATGGAATATGGATTGAATAGGGTTATATATGTATATATATATTTATACATTAATATACATGGAAACGAGAGGCAGATCCAGTATTTTCAGGATTTGGGACCTACACTCGCTTGCCATAAACTTTTGTTGACAGTGACGACTTTTCATCTTCGGGGTTTCCATGATTTGAACATGATGTGCAGTACCTTTGCACAAAATCTGTATACGACACTGCACTGGAATCAACTTTATAATGTATAAGAGAATCATAAAATGTATAAAACACTGGGTGTATAATTACCTCAACAAATCACCAACCATGTTTCATGGGAAAATCAACTATAAATGGCAATTTTTCAATAGCTTTCTGTATGTTTACCAGGCCGGGTAACTGGTGTGTTGGGCCCGGCTGAGGACCCTTTCGCAATGACTCCCCGCTTGGCTCTCAGCCGACATTTTGGGGGTGCGTTTGGTGACATGACCAGCGAAAGTCAGCCCTAAAAACCAGTGGTTTTTATGGAAAGAAATGGGCTTATCATTCCATAAATAGGGTTATCATTTGGTTGGTGGTTTGGATCATTGTTTAGTTTCCCATATTTTGGGAAGAATCATCCCAATTGACTTTCATATTTTTCAGAGGGGTTGAAACCACCAACCAGTCATGTTATTTCTGACATAAATAACTGGTAAAAACAAAAACATGACATGGAATCAACGCTGGGTTGTTTCACGATGTGATATCAGTAGACGTTTCAACTGGTTGATGTTTGCCTCCTATGAACTGTGCTTTCTCAGTCTCTTTTCAATGGCACCTTTGTGCTGTGTCAAGCAATGTCAAGCATGTTTTTCATGGATATCAGACGAAACTGCAACTGATAACTAGTGTTCCAACCCACAGCTCAACGCTGATGGATTGCAGCCATGCACCTAGATTCTGAGCCTCAGGTTGTCGATGTTTAGCAATCAACAAAGCACCAAGATCAGGTTTTCCACCACGAATGATAGCTAAGCTGGTTTATAGCTCCGTGAATTACCTGCATAATATATCAACAAAGTCACTTTTTATGAACCAACACTGGTTGGTGGTTTGGAACATGGCCTTTATTGTTCCATATATTGGGAATGTCATCATCCGAACTGACGAAGTCATATTTTTCAGAGGGGTAGGTATACCACCAACCAGATTCTTATTAACCATCATTAACCATATATAATAACCATATATTAACCATTATTATCTAACAGTATATTAACCAGTTGGTATACCACCAACCTTGTACAACCAGGATGTTTCGATGCAACCAGCACCAGGTTTGCTGCTCCGCGGCAACCTGAGAGCTTTGATCGCCTTGAGGCTTTCGACCGAGTACCATATCGAACTGTAAGAAATTTCCGGAGGTGAACTCCATCTAAGCCCATCGAATTTATTGACTTCACATCATTTTCATGGCTTTTCTTCAGATGCCCCCCCCCAAAAAGAAACACATCACCAGTGAGGATATAAACAATGACCTTTAGCCAATGGTGAAAAAAACACGTCAGTGAAGGTGAATGGGACCATAGCACCAACTCTCATACCCGCTGCCCTCAGAAAGATCCCAATATACAGAAAGGTGCAACACACGTATTGAGATAACATACACTATACATATAAGATAAGATACGCAATCATATATATATACACATAAATGCGCTGATGTCACGAACATTATTTCATATTATGTTTGCGATAGTTGCCTCTCTAACGGTTTCGAGCAACTTGGGTATGAACACCTTTGCTTCGATTTGCGAATTGGGTAAACCTCGGGAATGAATGGTTGGTTTTGATGCATGATGTTCCTTGCTTTGAGGAATGCAAGACATCCTCCTCAAGAATTACATGTTTGATATGTTTGCCAGGGTCGTCAAGGTCAGCCATAATATGATTGCAGTCACATTGATTTGTTTGCAAGTTGGGATTTGTTTCTTGTCCTGACTCTCCGGAAAGTGGGCCACAAGTGCCCCAAGGAAAGCATCGATGCACAGTCGCTGTGTCGAATTTGGACCTGATGGACCTCCGAAAAATCCAGCGCCAGATTCCAGCCTTAAAACAATGGGCGGATTACCCTCTGGCTATTTAACATAGCCATGGAAAATGGTCCATTTATAGATGGTTTACCTATATATTAAAAATGGGTGGATCTTTCCATGGCGAACTGTTAGTCATAACCAGATGGTAACAACCACTTCCAGCTGGGTGCTTCAAACTTAGAGTGCTGGTGAAAAGGCATGGATGGCCTGGAGGGTCTGGCTGTGGGGTTTTCAATCCCCACGGCTCGGTCCCCTTGTGCACTTGCATGGCATGTGCATGTGGAATCGCTCTGGCGAAGAATGGCCAGTGCAGGAAATATGAGTCTGCTGATCTGCGACAGTTGCAGGTAGATCTTTGGTGACTGGCGGGTTTAGGGAAATCCTTTTCCATCTAATGACATGTAGCCTCACTATTTCACATTGGACAAAGACATACACAGACATATTAATTATTAAAAATTAGTGATCATTAATGGCTTGTTTGTGGAGTAGCCACGTGTAGCGGAGCTATCAGCCACAAATAGCCACAATGCCTCTGAGTTGGGATCGCTCAGCAGTTTTTTCAACATGGAAATCCCGCACATGTTGCTTCCTAGAACAAAGCTGGAACAAAAAGAGTGTATCTCTAAACATGTTTTTTTGGGGGTCGTGTGTGTTCTACATATATTGTCACACACTAGACAAGAATGGATCATTACATGATCCGGCAGGAACTGAATCCTGAAACATGCAAATCTGATCCTAAATAGTTTCCACGTCCACGATCTTCATCAAAAATACATCGGCGACGAGGTATTGACGAAATAATCCAAATACATCGGCGACATGGTCGGCGAAATAATCCAAATAATCGAAAATACTATCGGCGACATGATCTCGGCGAAAATACTGAGGAAGGTTCTGATGCAGCTGAACTAATCGTAAATGTCAAAATTGATTCCAGATTGCGACAACAGTGCAGCAACATGACAGCTTGTTCAACAGTTCAAACTGTTTCTGCAGGTACACACCAGGACGTCTCCCGATGCATCACCAGAGAATGTTCGTCTTCGTTGGCAGTGATCCCACAGACTCTGTCACTGCCCCCTGCACTAGGTTTAAAAAGGGAGAGGACAGAAGGAAGAAAAAGAGAGAAGTTTTACATCTATTCAGATGTTACACACACACACCCGGCCAGAGCCGGGTCAACCCTGAAAGGCAAGAGGAAGAAAAAAGCGGACACACGAAGGGCAAAAGGCCAAAAACAGCGCAGGGGGGGGAGGGGAACAGACGGACCTCCGGAACCAACCTACACGGCGAAACGGACCTGACCAAAACAGCGCACGCACCTAAACCCCACGACACATTACGGAGAAGCACGCGGGGGAATTAGGGACCAAATGGGGGACTAGTTGATGACAGACAGGAAAACCAAAACAATTAGTAAAACAACAGGATTCAGCTCCTAGACCTAAAGTTCGTGCGTTGTGCCAATCCAGGCCCGTGTTCAAGTCAGCCACAAGGGCATATAACGGCTTTCAAGTTCCAGCGAATTAGGTGCACGATATGTTTCACCTCACCAGACAACCATCAAAAGAAAGAGGACCACACCTGGAAGTCGTGTGCCTGCCTGGTTCCTTTGTCATGGCATGATGCTGTGTCGCTGTGACATTGCTGCAAAAAAGGAGGTTTCTGAATGTTCAGCACGGCTTCACAGTCACAGAGGTGTATTCCACGAGGTTTCACAAGGGACCGCAGGATCAGCGGGACACTCAGAAAGCGGTGCAAAACGGAAAGGCCAGCTGTTGCACTTAAACGAATTACCAACTTAAAATGTGTTAATTCGGCAGTCAGGACAGTCATCACTCACCCTAAAGAGGGTTGCCTCAAATGGCTCCATGGCACCATGTCGGAGCCACCATGGAAATCACACTAGACAAGAACGGATCATTATATGATCCGGCAGGAACTGAATCCTGAAACATGCAAATCTGATCCTAAATAGTTTCCACGTCCACGATCTTCATCAAAAATACATCGGCGACGAGGTATTGACGAAATAATCCAAATACATCGGCGACATGGTCGGCGAAATAATCCAAATAATCGAAAATACTATCGGCGACATGATCTCGGCGAAAATACTGAGGAAGGTTCTGAAGCAGCTGAACCAAGCATAAATGATCAAACGTAATTCCAGATTGCGACAACAGTGCAGCAAATTGTAAAATCTTGTGGTTGGGGTTCTTAGCTTGGCCCCTTGCTATTTCGGAAAATTCGAGCTGCAGGTACGCCAGACTGGCCAAGTCTGGTATCACCGTCGATGGTAAGTGTCTTCGTTGGCAGGAGACTTACCATGACGCTCCTGCCCCCTGCACTATGTTTAAAAAGGGAGAGGACAGAAGGAAGAAAAAGAGAGAAGTTTTACATCTATTCAGATGTTACACACACACATATACATACCTATGATTCACATATAATATAATTCACACATAATTCACATATATATATATTTATATATATACATATACATATATACTTATATATATATATATATATATATATTATATGTATAAAAATACATACATACACACACACACATATATATATGTTAAATACATATATATATATAAATATATGCGTATTATATATAAGTATAACTAAATGTATTCAACCATTTAATTTGCAGCGTATCTTTTCTTCAGCCGTTCTTTCTCTTTGATCCACCTGTCCGGGGCCGTCCGGTTAGGTCGAGGACTGCGAGGTGGTGCCGGTGTTCGAGGTCGCTGGGCATTGACCATCCCAACCTGCAGTTATGGCCATGGCTATGAGTTATAAACCCATAGGAAAATGGTGATTTAATAGGAAAACCATGGGAAAACCATGTGAAAATTGTTAATAATGGTTAATAATTAGTTGTAACTGGTGATTTCTATGGTGATTCATAGTGGTTAATAATGGTTAATAGTTGCAAATAGTGATTAATGATGGCTATAAGTTATAAGTGAATGGTTGCGGTATTGTGATGTGTTCTTCTTTGTCATTAGAAAAGCTACAACAACACGGGGGCCGTTTCGAAAAGTGGTTACAACATACACCAAGCATGAAGGCTGACCACTATTTGATTGCCATCGTAAACGCATTTTATAGCCATATACCAATGGTATTTCATGGTGACAGAGAATAACATGTGACGGGTTGGCGGTATCATTTCTTGAATGTTCAACACTATATTAGGATGATGGCCCCCATTGACACAAGTACTTTTCGGAGGAGTTGAACGGAGGTCTATTTATGGTGACAGATAGTGACAGTGAGTAATTAACATGAATCCGTATTTTCTTCAAAGTGGTTACAACCCACGCAATGGTAACAGAGAAC